CTGGAAGCTGAGGTACCGTCGCACGGTCGAAGAATTAGGAAGATGATGTCAGGAGTAATGTGTTTGATGATGTATATATGTGTGTTTTTAATTATTCAGGAAAGTAGAGGTACCGACACACCAGGCTGCGAGGTTTGCATTAAGACTACGAAAACAGGCAATCGTATTTCCCAGACCCTTATTTGGCATTCGCAATATGAGTGCACAGGACATGTATCAAAGTGTAGATACCTAGGTACAGATTATAGTGTATGCCATATAGGAGCAGGAGAACCTAGGTATTTTAATCCTGAGTATCAGCCCCGTACAATTTGGTTGACTATTCAGAATGAGAACGCACAGGGGAACCTGATAAATAAGACTGTACTAGAAAGCGTACATTCTCCAGGTGTATTGCTATTTGATGCATGTAAGGCGATATCAGGTAGTAGGAAGCCATGGAATGTATGTGGTGGTCTTAAATGGGAAAGAACGTATGGGTCTAATGATAAGTATATTTGTCCTAGTAATAAGCATAAGTATATAGATCCAAACTGCCTAAATAAAGACTACAATTATTGTCCGTATTGGTCCTGTGTGGGATGGGCAACCTGGGGACAGACAGTAGATAAGGATATGATTATCACTAGATTGCCTATCAAGCCATATTGTAAGTCTATGGAGTGTAACCCAGTCCATATACTTATCAAGGACCCAGAGCTATTTATAGATAAGTTTGGGAATCTATTTGGGTTCCAAATATATGGAACAGGTTTGGATCCTGGGACGATATTATACATAGGAATAGAGACAGATACAGTGGCCCCCCAGACTCATCAGGTTTTCCATTCTTTTTATGAGGAGATGAGTGTGGAAGATAAGGTTCCCCATAATGCCAAAAACTTATTCATAGACCTAGCTGAGAGCATTGCTGGTAGTCTTAATGTAACCAACTGCTATGTGTGTGGAGGTACTAATATGGGAGACCAATGGCCTTGGGAAGCAAAGGAGGTAATGTATTCTGGTTCTGAGACAGTTGAACAACTAATATCTTCTCAATCTGATTATCAAGTGAGTGTTAGAGGTAAATCTGAGTGGCGATTAAAGACCTCCATTATAGGTTATGTTTGTATAGCAAGGAAAGGAATAATGTTTAATACATCTGTAGGAGAATTGACTTGTTTGGGGCAGAAGGCCTATAATGACGATACAAAGGATACTATTTGGTGGTCAGCTTCAAATGTCTCAGAACCGTCTAATCCATTTGCAAATTATACCAATTTAAAGGATGTATGGTTTGACCTATCTGCTACATCTAGTTGGAAAGCCCAAGCAAATTTGTACTGGATTTGTGGTAAGAAAGCATATTCGGAGTTACCACAGGACTGGGAAGGGGCATGTGTATTGGGTATGCTCAAACCATCCTTCTTCTTGTTGCCAATTGAAACAGGAGAGACTTTGGGAGTTAAGGTATATGATGTAAATCATAGGAAGAAAAGGGCACCCCTAGAGATAGGTACCTGGGAAGATGATGAGTGGCCTCCCCAGCGTATTATAGATTATTATGGGCCAGCTATGTGGGCAGAGGATGGTACTTATGGTACTTATGGATACAGAACCCCAATATATATGCTTAATCGTATTAAGCATACTGCAAGCAGTAGTTGAGATAGTTACCAATGAAACATCACAAGCGCTCAATCTCCTAGCGAAGCATAACACTAGGATGAGGACAGCCATCTACCAGAATAGATTAGCTTTGGATTACCTATTGGCAGTAGAGGGAGGTGTATGTGGGAAGTTTAATCTAAGCAATTGTTGTCTTCAAATAGATGATGAAGGGCAAGCAATAGCTGAGCTTACTAGCCATATGGTTAAGCTAGCACATGTACCTACTCAGGTATGGAAAGGGTATAATCCGAGTAGTTGGTTTGGTAGTTGGTATGAGCAGTTTGGAGGAATCAAGGCATTGGTAGGTGGAGTCATACTGATTTTGATGTTGTGTCTCCTTCTGCCATGTCTGATTCCTTTGGTAATTAGGTCTATGCAGAGCATTATAGAAAGTATAGCAGAAAGAAAGGCCGCAGCACAGGTAATGTCTGTTTGCAGGTATGAAGCTCTAGATCAAGGAAAATACATGCAGGAAGAGGAATGTTGAGGGGTTCGTATCTTTAGAGGATCGCAAAGTCTAGTCTGGTTTATGGCAACTTGAGGTGTAAGCAAACTATGATTGGTGATGCATCTGGAATTATTTTAAATCAGAAGCATCAAAGGGGGGAATGTGATGGAATTCCAGTAAAATACAAGTTTAGCAGGCCAAGATTGCCACAAGGCATATGTAGGTACATGTGTTTGTAGTATCAGTTAGTTAGTTACACGTAGCTAAGATACTGTCATCACTGTACTGAGCATGTGCAGGAACTGGAATTACGCGTCCCTCTCCTTTGTTTCAGATGAGCCACGTGGTTAGACCGGATGGATGAGTTTAGACTCTATTCATTGATTAGGTTAAGGGTATGTGTGGGCGTAGCTAATTATGGGAGGAGCTACAGTGCTATATAAGGAATGTACTCTATGTATTCAGTACTCAGATCTTTGCTGTTTTTGGTGACATAAGTCCCTCTGAGTCCCGGTCGGTGAATCGAATAAAGATCTCTTCCTTCCTGAAGAAACCTGTGTCCATCTCTCTGTGCTTGGCCTCCGTCAGTTTCCCGGTAACACTATCTGGTAATAAATGGTTTCATATGATCACTACCCTTCAATTAAATACATTTTTTTTGGATGAACAGTCATATTTTCAAAATCACTGCCACAATTTCAGCCATAGTATGCAAGCTTTTGAGCACAACTGTATGTATGTGTGGGTCTGTGATTGTGTGTATAGATCTGATTGTATGTGTGTATGTGACTGTGTAGAGGTCTGTCATTGTATGTGTGTGTGTCTGATTATGTACGTATAGGTTGTGATTGTGTATGTGTGTATATTTGTGGTTATGTGTGCATATGTAAATACATGTGTATGTGTTTAGTAGATAGCTTCCTAATTTGGTATCCTTAAATAGGGCAATCCCACATGAAGACAACATAAGAAAGTTATCTACTAAACAACTTTAAAATGTAAAATTAAGAAAAGGGCTTTTAAAGCTGTATTACTTATATACATTATCTATATGATATATTTCATGTGTGTCGCTCAATGCAACTCAGGGAAGACAAAAGGTTGGACACCCATGAACTAGAGTGTCTTTTTCAAAGTGCGGTGACATGCCTCTTTAGCCATTTTATAATTTAAAGTCCAAATGGCGTGCTTTCATCTAGGCATTCGCACGTCATACAGTCTTCCTTCCGCATGCGTCACTTTCGTATTCGATGATCCGTTGACTTAAGTCATTATGTCACTGAAGGGGTTTTAACATGGGATGGGGGATGGGAGGGAGAGGGGCACTGCAGGATTCAGCAGTGCCAGGAAAATGGATTTGTTTTCGTGGCACTGGACAGTCCCTTTAACGGTAAGAAAATTTTAAAAATGGTCTGGTCACTAAGGGGTTAATGAACAAAACACCACTGAAAGTCACCTTACAGTTTAATCCAGGCACAGCAAGGGTAATCAATGCAATATTCAATTAAATGCATAGCACACACACAAATAGCAGAGCACATATCTAAATATACCAAAACACAAGAGCCACATAATGCATTCCGTGCCTAGTGCACATTTCATTCAGTCGGATTTTTCCACAATTGTATATTGTGTGTGCATCTTTCCTAATTTTCGACATGAAAATAAAAGTGGTGTAATAGAAATACAGAAACTTTAATCCTTTCCAGTGCAAAAAGAGGTGGAAATGCTAAAATTTGCATGATAAGCACTGGCAGTGCCAGGACATCTATGTACAGTGTAATTTCTAAAATATAAATGATTAAGGGTGTGCAAAAATATCAAGTGCCACTGTTCTGTAACAGGAAGGAAAATAAATCTATATGTGTTGCCAAAAGTACATCTATTCCTCACAATTTCACAAACTTTTAAACGTTAGCGAATTAAATGCAAAATCATTGGCCAAAATAGTGGATTTGGTTAAAATTCTCCAAGTCAGCTACAGTCTCACGTTTGCCATTCAGATTTATTTCACAAAAATCTGGACATTAGTGAACATACACCTACCTACTACAAATAAATAAAATGCTTATTAAGCAGTAGACTACAGACAGACTTAAAAAGCTAAAAACATGAAATGATATATAATGCATCCTACAGAATGTTTACAGAACATGAATAACCTGCTGGAGGTTGGGAGATGCTCTGCTTCAGACAATGAATTTCAGGCGGCCCTGAGGCAATGAATTATCAGCTATGAATAATAATGTGATAATAGCCTGTTATTTTGGACTTGCCCTTTTAGTAACCTACTCTGCACCCATTATAGATTGCCATCGACTTGTTACTACAAAAAAATAAAATTCGTGTGAGGAAACATCTCGCATTCTGGGACCTTATTTTATAATAAAAACACAGATTACCGCTAAAAGGCGACCGATTAATGAATGTAAACAGTAAATATCCGTGTGGGAGCGATAACATGTCCTGCAGGGCACGACATGGCGGGCCGGGGGGGCGGGCACGCTGCACAAAGGGCGCTCAGAAAATGGCAATCTGCTGGGGATACACCCCCAGCCAGCCGTCTGCCTTTGTGTTTTGGGACTCATTTTGTGTGCTGGTGAATGCGGTGTTAGCTAACAGACAGGACGGAGCAGCAGGCGGAGCGGCCATTTTGCCACATCCTCCTCACTGCCATCTAGAATGCCGCGGAGAGGAGGGGGGAAGGGGCAAGACAGCAACACAATAACCAGATACACAAAGCTTTCCTTTGGGAGATTTATTTACACTCTCCATCACCGCCCTGAGGAGAGGGGGAGGGGGGTTAGTCTGATCGAGCGCAAGACGGACGGCTGAGAAGGCGGGAGAGCGAGCGAGCAGAGGAGGGGTTGGTGGGGACACATGGTATCCTCCTACCCCCCATTCTTGGTCAATGTGTGAGGGCGGAGTCCGCCGCCGCAGCAGCCCGCTCCCCCTCCTCCCGAATGGTCTCTCCCAGAGGTTACCGGAAGTTGTTATGGGCTGCCATATTTTCAGCTGCTTTGTTGTAGGTTTAATGTAGGATACTTAGCCGATATTTTTCCTCCCCCCTCCCTTCCTCCTTCTTCTCTTTTTTTTTTCTTTTTCCAGCAGCTATTCTCCCTCCTCCTCCTTTTTTCCCCCTCCCCTTCCCCGGAATCGCCATGGAGGCCAACTGGACCGCTTTCTTGTTCCAGGTAAGATGAGGGAGATATAAAGTGTTTTATTTGACGGTTGATGTTTCGCGCACCGTGATTTTTCGCCGTGCAATTCGGTATATTTGTAGAAAGGGCGGCGGTATTACCCCCCCGTCCTCCCACTCTTCCCTCAGACAGCCCCCACCCCCTCCTCTACCGCCGCCGGAGCCGCAGCCTCCCTCCACTCCCCTCCCCGGGAAGCGGGGACACCCGGGAGCAAACTACCCCCACCACCTCCTCCTCCTCCCCCCTCTCCTCCCTCCTTCCCCGGGCACACAGGGGAGGCAGCAGCCGGCTCCGCCGAGCGCAGAGGAGGGGAGTGTGGCTGTTACACGGCCTCTCAGAGCGGAGTGCCGAGCCAGGGAGCTGCAGCTCGATATGTGCTGGCGGTAACAAGACTACAGGCTGCCTGTCACCAGTGGCTTATGGGGGGCACGATTTACTGGATCAACCTGGAGCTACAATATCGACTGTAAATTAATACAAAATAAACAACTGAGTAACAACTGCTACAACATAACAGAACAGCGTGTGTGTGTAAATTGATTTGTGCACACTTTGTGTGTGTTTTTTTTTATATATATGTGTGTGTGTGTGTGTGTGTGTGTGTGTAGTAAAGCAGGGAATTATTTGAACAAGAACAAAATCAACAAGCTTTTAAGCTCCTAAGATTGTGCTGTGTATAGCGGTGCATGGTTAATGGCTCCTGATTTAATATTATGACCTATTGCGATGCTGTCCACATAGCTGATCTAATCTACTGTGGTGGTCTACAGTGGTCCAGACCACCCCCCTAAAAAAAATGCTGCTGGACATTTGCCACCCCTTAAAAAAAAAAAAAATCTCATTGCACAGTACTTTATTTAAAAAAAAAAAAAAAAAAAAATTTTTAAGCTGCAACATTGCCAGGAGAGAACAGATTTATACATATGCTTATTTTTTTTTTTCTTCATCTGAAACACAAAATTCCACGTTTCTTCTCTTGTAACGTTATTAGTTGAATGTCCTTTGTGAAGCCCATAGCCTTGTCTGTTGGAAGAGGTGTATTGTTCTTTATATGCTGTGTCACTCATGTGCGTGTGCTCACTGGGAGCCCAGATCCTTCTCACCCTCGGCAGTGCTGGTTAATGGGTATGTCAGTCAACTCCTTCAAGATTTCAGTTTCTGGCGCGCTGCTTTCTTTGATGGTTTTTGTTTTGGAGAAAAATATCAACAGAAGTAATCTTGTATGTTGAGCTTTTAGATTTCATCTTGTATGTCAGTATGCATAACTGTTGGATTTAGTTTTATATTTTATGGGATGCTATGTTATGTTTGCACACTATTTTAGATGGAACTTAGAATACCGCACATGAATTTGTTTTCCCCATGTAAATGACGTAAAACTGGAAACTTAGGACAAATAAATTTTTTTTTTTTTTTGTGCTTTTTGTGTTACTCACGTTAAAGAAAACTGTTTAGAATCCACTCTGGGGAACTGAAGTACAAAGAGCACTATTGTCCCTTTCTGTTTTGGTATTTAATGTGTAAATGATATATACCACTTTTATGGTCCATACATTATATTTATGTAGCACCAAGAGACTTACTGGATTGGTGTTGTGTAAAATTAATGCAAATTTCTGGGGGTGCATTGTATAAGGTCCATTGCATGTCTTTGCCTCCTTTCCTTGATGCTTCTTGGGGGGTGGTCTCTCTCTCTCTCTCTCTCTCTCTCCACACAATCAGGGAAATAAACATTCCATACTTCTATGAGTACATCGTTTTCAATTGAAGAAACTGTGAAGGCCACAAACTTGAAGCGTATCTTTAAAAAAAAAAAAATTATATATATAGTCAATTTGTATTTCTTGATAAATAACAAGTTAAAGGTGTATGTCATGTACAAATAAAATATAAGCACATTATTATTATTATTGCCATTTATATAGCGCCAACAGATTCTGTAGTGCTTTACAATATGAGAGGGGGGATTTAACTATAAATGGGACAATTACAAGAAAACTTACAGGAACGATAGGTTGAAGAGGACTGCTCAAACAAGCTTACAGTCTATAGGAAATCATTGTAAAGATTCAAGCTAAGCAAAACAGCAGACTTTAATAAAGGGCCAATATAGGCACCCAGACCACTTCAGCTCTATAAAGTGGTCTGGGTGCCAGGTCCCCCTAGTTTTAACCCTGCAGCTGTAAACATAGCAGTTTCAGAGACACTGCTATGTTTACACTGAGCTGTAATCCAGCCTCTAGTGGCTGTCTCACTGATAGGCGTTCCCGCGCTTCTCACTGTGAAAATCAGTGAGAAGATGCTGAAGGTCCATAGGAAAGCATTGAGAAATGCTTTCCTATGCACTGTTTGCGCGCGCGGTTCTTGCTGCTCATGCACATTCGGAGCAGATGGAGGAGAGCTCCCCGGCGCTGGAGAAAGGTAAGTGTTTAACCCCTCCAGCCCAGCGGAAGTGGAACCCTGAGGGTGGGAGGGACCTAAAGACCATATAGTTCCTGGCACTATAGTGCCTCCAAACTTGTGCAGGTTCCACAAAGAGGTCCTAAGGATCTATGTACTACACAAACAGAGTAAAGCTATGTCTGCACACAGCCTGATTCACTGAACTTAGTAAAAACTGATTGTGGCTGCAGAATGGCTATTGTCCGTTTTGAGCTACAGCTTGTTATATGATGAGTGAAACTGCTGTTGTGGGATACTACTTATCCCATAACCTGTGTTGGATTTTTAGGGCATAATATGGTCAGATTCAAAAGCTGAGTGACTCTTTTGAAGGACTGTAGCATATTTTATGGCCAAATACTAGAAAAGATTTGGCGGTAATAGTGTGGCTTGTGTGGGTAGAAGGGTGTCTTTGAAAGCAGGGATTAGTTAACCTTTAGCTGTCCAGATGTGTTGGACATGATCTCCTATAATGCTCTTACAGGCATCAGGGGAGATGTAGTCCACAATATCAGGAGTGTTGAAGATTGCCTACTACAATATTAACACTTCAAGTACCAAACATGCTGTAGTGGTTATGGTACCAGTAGTGTCCTGGAAAACCCACCAATGTAAGTTTTTGGACTATTTGATTTCTTACCATTGGTCCACTGGTTGCCAACCCCTGCTTCGTCTCTTGCTGCAGTTAGTGCTGGAAGATTCTGCTAGGTGCTTTTTATCATTTTTGAGTTATGCTAGGCTAGCTCACTGGCTTAGTGTCAGGAGATTGCTCTAAACCAGATGTAGGCAACCTTCGGGACTCCAGATATTGTGGACTACATCTCCATTTGATGCTTTGCCAGCATTATGGCTGGAAAAGCACATCTGGAGTGCCGAAGATTGATAACCCCTGCTGTAAACTGTAATGCCAGGCTTGGCTCACGAGACACCTTCCAGCTGCAGCAGACAGCTGTTAGCAAACGGGTTGACTGCTTAAACTAGATGGATGCCAAGCCACTCCAAAGGAATATAAGCCCTACTCTGCGCTAAAGCGCTTGTGGTGTTTGGAGTGTTCCTTTAATAAGACTCTGACTACCGTAACTCTATTTGCTGACCATGCATAAAGTTGCAGCAAACTAACATCAAACTGCCATCACTTTTCAAGAGTCCTTTGTTTATCCTAAATAACTTTAATTTGAAGCTAATAGGTAAACAAATCCCAGGCACCAAGGCGACTAGGCATTTTGTCAAGGCACCTGGGATTTGTTAGCCTGTTCACACTGTGTTGGCAGCCCAGAATGTAAATGGGCGGCAAGGGAGCTGTAATATTCTTCGCGCACTGCTGTGATGTGGGGAGCCAGCATAGGACATCCTTCTGGCCCCGGCATCGCTAAACCGCATGCGAGAGCAGGCCAAGAAGAGCTTGAAGATTTCAGTAGCCAGACTGAACCCCAAGGAAAAGATCAGTTTCAAAGGTAGGGAGGCTGGGTGGTCTTAAATTGAACTAAAACAAATAATTTGTTTGTCAGTGTGTTTCTGTTTAGGTGACTGCCCCCCCCAATCGCATGGGAAAGGTGTTTTTTTACTCTTTTTTTTTTTTTTTTCTATGCTGTACTGGTCTTGCCGTGGCTGACACTGCCTCCATGGTTGAGATAATCAAGCTTGATAATCTCAGCCATTCCAATGCTTTCCCATAGTGACAGCGCTGGGAACATGTAATATGACATTTATATACTTCTGATGCTTTGAATCAGGTGTGACATGGGAGATCAAGTAGAGCCCTGAAGCTATTTCTGTTGCCAGAAAATGCATGGGCTGCCTGCTTCTTGGTATGGCCCAAGAGAATGCTGCAAACTTCATGGTCTCATTTCACGTGTGTGTGTGATTTACATTGTGTAGGTTTACAGAGGCGGGCAAAGCGATTAAGAATACTGGACTGAAAGCTTGTAAATGGAAGCAGTTATAACATTTTTTTTTTTTTTTTTTGCCATTGTGTGTTGCAGTGGCTAGTTATATATGTGGCTGTCTTGGTATAATTGTATCTTGTGAGCTTGGATATATAATTTTTTTTTTATTTTTTTTTTGTGAAACTAGGACAATGGCTGGAAACATGGCAGATTTAGAATTTAATTTTTTATTTATTTTTTTATTTTTTTTTATTTTGGATTTTTTTGTTTGTTTAGCCCCTTCCCGACCGGTGACATACCAGGTATGTCCGCCCAAAAATGGTCGGTAACGACAGCGGATGTACCTGTACGTCATTTAGTAGATCGGTACTTACATGATCCCAGGGGCTGCCTAAAATGCATCCAAACATCCAGTATCTCCTCTCTCTGCATGCAGACACTGAACTTTCCTCATAGATTCATTGATTCAATTCATCTCTATGAGGAAATGCTGATTGGCCAGGGCTGTGTTTGAATCATGCTGGCTCTGCCCCTGATCTGCCTCCTTGTCCGTCTCAGCCAATCCTATGGGGAAGCATTGTGATTGGATCAGGCTACCACTTCTGATGGTGGCAACAGACTGCTTATTTTCTGAGTCTAACAGCATGCAGAGTTACAGCTTCAGGCTTGAATACAGTAAGATTTTTAGGGGCCAAGGGGTCTAGATGGTGATTTTCACACTATAGGGTCAGGAATACATGTTTTTGTTCCTGACCCTATAGTGATCCTTTAAGTTTTTGTGTGTGTGTGTGTGTGTGTGTGTGTGTGTGTGTGTGTGTGTGTATATATATATATATATATATATATATATATATATATATATATTTATTTTTTTTTAAATAATGTATGTGTATATAAGTACTTATATACACATACACAAATCATTAAGTGTATTTTATTTTAATATATATGTATATTTAACATACTTAGAATGTTTATATATTACAAACTGTATTTTCTGATCCTGAGGAAAGCCCAGAATGGGGCTGAAACGTTGATCTATATTTTTAATGTATACCCAATAAAGTTATTTGGATTTTAAATGAAGACTGAGGAGTGCAGTCATAATTTCGGATATTTTATGTGAAATCAGCCAGTTGGCTTCTGCACCCGGCATTAACAGGGAAAGCATGAGTGCAAGGAATCGTGTGTATCATTTTATTTTTATTTTTTTTAGAAAATTATACAGCAGTTTAAATTTGTTCTAACTGTATTTTGATATTAATATACATATATATTTAAATCAAAATACATTTAGAATGTTCTAAATACATATATCCCCTTAACGACCGTGGACGTACTAGGTAAAAAACAGTTGTTAAGGAAAATAGGAGCCCTGGACTGGCGATCACGGTCTGGGGGGGGGACTGCCGGAGGCCCCAGCAGTCCCCCTGCAGCATCTCTGGCCCTCATGCTGATCACATCGCTGTAATAGGAGTCTATTAACCATTTTAAAATATATTCTACATATATATATGATTTCATTATAAGTGTACTTTGAGATATATACACATCTCAAAATACACTTATAAAGAAATCATATATATATGCATTATAAATGTATAATGTGTTATAAAATGCTTTAATTCTAATCTATTATACATATAGGATAAAAGTGTGTGTACATGACAACCCAGGCAGACAATCCAGATACTTTAATTGGCAAGCCCTATATTTAACCTGGTAACTTTCCAAAACACCATAAAACGTTTACATTGGGGGGGGGGGGGTGGATTATTGTGAAACTCGAGAGACTAAGCTGAACACAAATGAGTGTTTAAAACAGTAACACTTATCACGACGATGAAATCAACAGTAAAAGTGCAATTTTTGTGAGGAAAAAAAATGCAAAGAACAAATATGCATAACTTTGGCAAGAGTTTGTGGCTACTACAAAAGACTGGACATACCCCATTTTGAATACCTTGAGTTTTCTACTTTTTCAAATGGTATGTCATAGTGGGGTTAGTTTTCATTTCTGGGCTGCAAAGATGGTAAGGTAATATAAGCAGGCCTAGCAAACCAATCTGGAAAATTTCAATGTGCGAACATGGAAATTGGGAAAGCCCTACATTTGACCTCGGTAAGTTTGCAAAAACCCATACAACCTGTACATTGAAAGCACTGTTGTACTCAGATGTTGCTGAACACATATTGGGGTGTTTTTTCAGTAACACATAACAGGAACTGAGAATCAATGCCTAAAGTACACTGTGAGAGGAAAATAACACCAAAAAACGACTACCCAAAAGTTTGATAAAGACTGGCGGTAGAATTAGTGCATGAAACGTCTTAAAATACCACCATTTGAAATACCCTAGGGTGTCTACCTTTAAAAAACATATGGGTTGTTGGGGGGAAATTACATTGGACGGCTTAAAAAAATGTCGCAAATAGGACATGGGTGCATGATGACCAGCTGTGAAAATTCCAAGTTGGAAAACTGGAATGCGCACCCTAAATACCCAAATAAGGTCCTTTAACCCCCCAGAGAACCCGACACACCTATACATGGGTAGTATCACTGTACTCAGGAGATGTGGCTGAACACATATTGGGGTGTTCTTTGACAGTAACCCTTAAAGTTCTCAGTACATATATTCTTAAATTGCTATGTGTGTCAAAAAAGGCACATTTTAATTTTTATTTTTTTTAACTTGGCATAGATTGGTGGTAAAATGGTTGCATGAAACAAGTCAAAATACCCCAAGTTTAATACCTTGGGTTTTCTTCTTTTAAAAAATATATATACATGTGAAGGGTTATTTAGGGATTCCTGACAGATGTCCGTGTTACAATGTAATTTGCGTTAAAGGAACACTATAGTCACGTAAATTACTTTAGCTAAATAAAGCAGTTTTAGTGTATAGATCATTCACCTGCAATTGCACTGCTCAATTCACTGTCATTTAGGAGTTAAATCACTTTTTCTGTTTATGCAGCCCTAGCGACACCTCCCCTGGCTATGACTGACAGAGCCTGCATGAAAAAACAACTAGTTTCACTCTTAAACAGATGTAATTTACCTTAAATAATTGTATCTCAATCTCTAAATTGATATTTAATCACATACAGGAGGCTCTTGCAGGGTCTAGCAAGCTATTAACTAAGCAGGGGATAAGAAAATCTTAAACAGAACTTGCAATAAAGAAAGCCTAAATAGGACTCTCTTTACAGGAAGTGTTTATGGAAGGCTGTGCAAGTCACATGCAGGGAGGTGTGACTAGGGTTCATAAACAAAGGGATTGAACTCCTAAGTGGCAGAGGATTGAGCAGTGAGGCTTCAGGGGCATGTTCTATACACCAAAACTGCTTCATTAAGCTAAAGTTGTTCAGGTGACTATAGTGTCCCTTTAATTTTGAAAAACAATGGTTTGGAAATAGCAAAGTGCTACTTGTATTTATTGCCCTATAACTTGCAAAGAACATGTTAACATTGGGTATTTCTAACTCAGGACAAAATTTAGAAACTATTTAGCATGGGTGTTTTTTGGCAGTTGTAGATGCATAACAGATTTTGGGGGTCAAAGTTTGAAAAGGTGTGGTTTTTTTTTTATTTTATTTTTTTTATACTTTATAAAGAAAATTATAGTAAATTATATGATATACTGAAAATAATCTTTATAAAGACTAATGGCAAGAAAAACGGTATATAATGTGTGGGTACAGTAAATGAGTAAGAGGAAAATTACAGCAAAACACAAAAACCGCAGAAATATAAAAACAGCCCTGGTCCTTAAGAAAACTGAAAAACGGTCTGGTCACTAAGGGGTTAAAGAAACCTTCAAACATAGGTCTTATGTCAGCAACATCAAATTCTTAGATATGTAAAGGAACACTATAACTTTAGAAATACAAATCCCTATCCCTGCCTTTATAACAACAACAAAAACTTGCCTTTTACCAGCGCTGAGACTCCCTTTGTGCTGCTCCCTTTTTTGCTTCCTGTAACATAATCAAGGAGGCATTGCTTCATCCATTCCTGGACCAACGATGTGCATACATATACATACACATACATACATCCAATGCTTCTCCTATGAATTCCATGCTTTACTATGTGCTGCAGTGTCACCTTTTTTTATTTGGCCAGTGCAGCAGAAGCACCTCTAGTGGCTTTCTGCAATACAGCCCACTAGAGTTGTGTTTAACCCTGCAATGTAAACATAAATGTTTCTACAAAACTGCAGTGAATTACTTTGCAGGGATGAAATGACAGGGCCACTGCACTCAGACATTCTTTTCAAATATTTTGATTGAAGATTTTTCAAATAATGTATAAATGTATACAATCAGATACTGTAATAACACTATAATAATAATAATATTGATTAATACAGAAAATAACATACTAAAACAGGGAATAAACTTGATTTGGGATTTCTGTGGGAAAAGCAAGTCTTATGGCTTGACCAGTGTGCAGATTTTTGTTTAACATTGTATTAACTATCCACAGACTTCAGGTGGAAGGGGTTTTCAATCACAATTTTTCCCCACCATAACCTATTTGGATTTTGCTTCCCAAGCACTACCAAGCCTCAATAAGCAAACCAGTAACCAACCTCATGCTGAAGAGTTGCATTAACAACAAAACAGCTGTCCTTGAGTGGTTCACTGGTTTTGCATCTTTTCCTAAATTGTGTTCCAAGCAGTTGTATACTGCAAACACAGATTAAAATGAATCCATGTTTAAAATGGAATGAGGCAAAAATGTGATTCTTTGTTAAAGTAATTTGCATATGCTCACCCAGAATCCTTTGCAGTTGTAACATCACTGCAAATTTGGGATTTCTGTGGGAAAAGCAAGTCTTATGGCTTGACTGGTGTGCAGATTTTTGTTTAATCTCTCTCTCTCTCTCTCTAATTATAAGTGTATTTTTATGCATATATTAATATAAAAATACACTTAGTATGACTATATATTAAGTGTATTTTATATTAATATATACATATTAAAATTAAACTATGCGTGTGTGTATATATTAGTAGTATTATGAGATATATATATATATATATATATGCTATATAAATCGCAATACAAATATATACACACGTATAGTTTAATTATAAGTGTATTTTTATATTAATATATGTATATATTAATATAAAAATACACTTATAATTAAACTATACGTGTGTATTATTATTGCGATTTATATAGCGCATATATATTAACTATATTTAGTGTGTGTGTGTGTGTGTATATATTAATTATAAAATACAAAAGTAAATTAAATTATTAAAAAGCAAAAATAATAAAAAATGATATCTATGAAATTATTCTAACTGTATTTTGATATATATTTATATCAAAACACACTTAGAATGAAATTGTGTATATATCTGTGTGTGTGTGTGTGTGTGTGTGTGTATATAAAAATAATACGAAATATACATATGTCCATATACAAAATTGCATAAATAATTATATAAATATACATGCAGACTTCAAATATATAAATATGCATATATATTTAAATTCTATGTGCGTATTACGTAATTAAGTAATTTTATTGATTGAAATTTGAGGGACCTGTCTGCCAACCCAGGCCAAAAGTCCAGAGAATTTAATGTGCTAGCACTGTATTTTACCTTGTAACTTTCTATGACACCGTAAACCTGTACATGGGGGGGTACTGTTTTACTCGGGAGACTTCGCCGAACACAAATATTAGTGATTCAAAACAATAAAACGTATCACAGCAATGATATTGTCAGTGAAAGTGACTTTTTTTTTATTTTTCACACACAAACAGCACTTTTACTGATGATATAATTGTTGTGATACGTTTTCCTGTTTTGAAACACTAATATTTGTGTTCAGCAAAGTCTCCCGAGTATAAGTTACAGGGTCAAATATATGGGTCAAATATTTTTACATTACAAAAGCGCTAGGGAGAGCTCGTGGCTGACCGATCATGTAGTATAAATACACCCTGATGGGGTAACGATAGGAACTATGTACAAGTTAACCAATATAAACTGAGCTTTGGTTGTCTAGAATGCCGTGATGTAAGACGGCGACGAAGTTGTTCTCAGGAACAAATGTTATGCTTGTTTCACATTTGAACATATTGTAGCAGATACACACAGGTCGTACGTGACCTCAACCTGCTGAACACTGAATCGAATAAGCTGTTCTACCATTACTCTATCTAATCTAATAAAAACAGATTTACAAAAAAAATTAAAATATTTTTACATTGAAAACTGCCAGGTTTGTTACGTTGCCTTTGAGAGCGTATGGTAGCCCAGGAATGAGAATTACCCCCATGATGGCATAACATTTGCAAAAGACAACCCAAGGTATTGCAAATGGGGTATATCCAGTCTTTTTTTAGTAGCCACTTAGTCACAAACACTGGCCAAAATTAGCATTCAATTTAGTTTTTTACTTTTTTCACACACAAACAAATATGAACGCTAACTTTGGCCAGTGTTTGTGACTAAGTGGCTACTAAAAAAGACTGGACATACCCCATATTGAATACCCTGGGTTGTCTACTTTAAAAAAAAAATATATGTACATGTGGGGTGTTATTCAGAAATTTGACAGATAATAGTGTTACAATGTCACTATTGATAAATTTAAAAAATGTATGTATCGAAACCGCAATATCCTACTTGTACTTATAGCCTTATAACTTGCAAAAAAAAAAGCATGTAAACGCTGGGTATTTTTAAACTCAGGACAAAACTTTGAATCTATGTAGCAGTTTTTTTCATTAGCTTTTGTAGATGAGTAAAATAATTTTCAAGTAAAAGTCAAAATAATTTTTTTTTTTTTTTTCAACTGGTCATATTTTTTTTTTTAACTTAATTTACATGAGATTATATAAATAATGGTATGTAAAGAAAGACCCTTTTTGTCCTTAAAAACCCCAATATATAATTTGTATGGGAACAGTAAATGAGAGAGCGGAAAATTACAGCTAAACACAAACACCACAAAAGTGTAAAAAAAGGCCTGGTCGCAAATGTACATCGCAAAAACAGTCTGGTCCTTAAGGGGTTAAAATCAACAACCAAACCTGTATTCCTGGCACGGTAGCTCCCTCTGCCTCCTTTTTACATTGCAGCAATAGGTGCAAAAGGCACATTACACCCAGACCACTTCAATTTGCTGAAGTGGACTTGATGTCTACAGTGTCCCATTTAAAATGTTTTTCTAAATGTGTAATATGTGCGAAGAGGAATAGTCTTCGGCTGCACAATATAGCTCTCTTGTTTGTTATCATTATGTAGAATTGCCATATTTAAGTATACCAAAATAGGGAGCCATCTACTAAACACAGACCTATACACACTCTCAGATATACATACACATTCAGTTTTGCCGATGCCAGGATTACCTCATATCCCAGCAGCCGGCTCACTGTTGGGCATGTGAGGGAGTTGTGCAGGAGGAGCTCAGTATGTAAAAGATTCACTGCCTCCTTCGCCGCCTGGCATCCCGGAGTGCTACCGGGTCGCATTACTAGCGGTTCCAGGTTGCCCGCGGGTTGAACATACCTGTTTTAAAATGTCCCTGTGGCCTTTTATGCATTAAATGAACAATGAGATGCCTCTATGTAAGAGTTTGTCAAGATAGCCCATGATTGCTCCAGAAAATCTATTTTTTTTTGTGCATTAAAAAAATATAAAAAATTGTAATGGCAGACATTTTTATTTTTATTTCAATACTTTAATCCCACATAGATTAATAATTTTGAAATGTTCAATTTCTTAAAACTATTTTAAGCTTCAATAGATGCTTATAAATGTATAATTTTAATAAAGAAGACTAGGAGTCCCCTAAATATAGTGTTTGTGTACATATATACACACCCCTTAAAGGGACACTATAGTCACCAGAACAACTACAGCATATTGTATTTGTTCTGGTGAGTATAATCATTCCCTTCAGGCTTTTTTGGAGTAAACAGTTTTCAGAGAAAAGACAGTGTTTACATTACAGCCTAGGGATACAGATACACCCACTGGCCACTCCTCAGATGGCTCGTAGAGGGGCTTCCTGGGATGCAGCACTGCCATTCAGTGTCTCCACCCTCTGCACTCCACCCTCTGAACTTTCCTCATAGAGATGAATTGATTCAATGCATCTCTATGAGGAGATGCTGATTGGTCAGGGTTGTTTGGCTTATCTGGGCTCTGCCCCGATCTGTCTCCTCGACAATCCAATGCTTTCCTATGTGAAAGCTTTGTGATTGGCTGAGATTCCCATTTCTGATGTCAGCCAGGCAGGCTGATCAGGGGCAGACAGCAGAAGCAAACTGAAATAAATGTAAGATTTTGCTATATTTGGGGGGACTGGAGGTGGGCTAGATGGTGGTTTTAACACTATAGGGTCAATAATACATGTTTGTGTTCCTGGCCCTATAGTGTATAGTGTTCTTTTAAAGGATCACTATAGTGTTGTTTTTCTGACACTATAGTGCCCTAATGGTGCCCCCACCCTCAGGGTGCCCCTCCCATGGCGCTGAAGGGGTTAAAACCCTTTCAGCATCTTACCTTATTCCAGCGCTGGGCTCCTTTGGCGCTGGTGACCTCTCCTCCCCGTCCGTCTGCGGAGCCGAATGCGCATTCAAAGTGTCCATAGGTAAGCATTTCTCAAAGTTTTCCAATGGACGTCAGCTTCTTCTTACTGTTCATTTTCACAGTGAGAGCCCCTAGAGGCTGGATTAACCCTATTGTTTCTCTGAAACTGCTATGTTTGCATCTGAAGGGTTAAAACCTGAGGGACCTGGCACGCAGACCACTTCATTGAGCTGAAGTGGTCTGGGTGACTATAGTGGCCCTTTAATCTAATAAATAAAATTGTAACTTGTTTTACCTCAAAGGAGCATTTTAGATACAGATAGTAATCTATCAAGATTTGTTCCTTTTCAGGGTTCTTCTCTCATTTGTTCAAAGCTATTTAATTTGAATTGACCCCTTCCTAGATTACCATGTAACCCCTTTTGGCTTCAACATACGTTGTATGTTTGGTCTTCCTTTCCAATTTAAAATCGAAACTTAATTCACTAGATTTGATACAGGCTCGTTCGGTCAACCTTGATATAACCGAGTTTGACAAATCAGAGCATCTTTGCACCCTATATCAAGATGGTGCTAATGGTAATATGGCTTCAAGAGCCACTTGGATTTAAGAGACTATTTCCCTGGCGTACTATTCACAAGATAAGTCACCTCCTCCTTTGCTGCTGGCTTATTCTACTAGGTCAATCTCAATCTTGGATAAAACACTGGCTTAAAAATAGAGTGCAGAGAGTAAATGTAAAATTTGCAGGTTGGACAAAAGTGGTAAGAGGATTGCCTCAGGGTTCTGTCCTGGGTCCACATCTCTTAAATCTATTTATAAGTGAACTTGAAGTGGACATTGAGGTATTATTTAAAGTGACTTTGAACTAAATTTTTATTTTGTTCATTTTATTTTTTTTAAAACATGTCTTATTGATATTAGGTTTCATTGGATACATATTTTTGTGATTTGTTTTCCAACATATATGTAATAATGATTATGCCAGAAGTATAAAGCATTATAGTATTCTGAGTCTTCAGAATCGAACAAGTAGAACACAGGTTGCATTCCAAGGACGCTTGTAACCCAACAGGAAATGACATAAGGATCAAAAACCCAGAAACAGAATATAGGATTGATGGAACATAATGTCCATCCCAAACACAGATGAGGAGTGGACCAGACATTGAAAGAAGAGCGCGATCACAGCAATCAAAAGTGGGATATAAACAAGAAGAGAAGAGCCAGGATTATTGCAATTTAAGAAGTCATATTGGCATTTTTGTTTTATAGCAAGTATTGTGTTGCTTTTATTTGTACTATAATTTTTATTTTTATCAATAAATATAATTATCATCTTTGAAGAAGTGGAATTCACTTTATTTGGACCACATATACCTACCAAAGTGTCAAGGCAGCTTTATCAGGCTTATCGTGTGTGTGTGTCTCTCTCTCATCCTGGGTAGGTGTGGCTAGACTGCATAGACAAACTGATTTTAATTTCCAAATATTAGAGAATGAGCAGTGAGCCAGTAGGGGCAAGAATTTATATACCATAGCCATTTCATTAAGACAAAGATTTTTTTTTTTAGTACTTGAGTCCCTTTAGAAAATACAAGTCCCTAAAGTCCTTTAGCTGATTTAGGAAAAAAAAAAACCCAACATCCTTCTTTTTGAAAGTGTCAGGTTCAAAACAAATTGGTCCTTTTATAACCCCTGGACATTGGTTTGTCTTGAACCACTGTAAGGGTTCCATTACTCTAAGCCAAGCGGCATGTGGCCTGGTGAGCTGCAAGTACATGCTTGGTGTTAAAGCAGAGTAGGCAGCTGCTTTCTCCACATTGCAGGTGCTTACTCTGCTAAAATTTACCAGGCCAGGGAAGGCAGAATGGAGCAGTGAGGAGCAGAAAGGAGATCTCCAAATAGATCCCCACTGGGAATGGTGTCTGTCTGGGAGTGTCTCTGTGTTGCGATGGCTGCAGCTGGACAGTGGATTACCTGGAGGTGCACAGAGGCACGCAACGTCACATTCCGACGTGACGTCAACTTGCTCCACCTTCACAGGGTTTCAAGAAGTAGCGGGAGCATCCACTTTGGCACAGGGTGTGGACGGAGCCATTTGGGGTATACCAGAGGCCGCACTCCAGAGACGCTTTCTGGCAGCGGCAATGTGTGGGGACTGAGATTTAGTAGAGGGGATGCTTTTTTTTTATTATTATTATTTTTTTTTTATTTTTTTTTAATACAATACTTTTCAAAATAAACCTACGTTCCTATGAAAATTTAAGGTTTTTTTTTTTTTGTTTTGTTTTGTTTTTTGCGGCACATAAACTTAAACGTGCTAGACTTTGAGTTTGACATGCTTGCTCTATGCAGTTAGAGAAAGTAAAGGTGTCTTGCAGATAATTCTCTATGAAAAGGATTACATGGTTCTTTCAGTGCTTCTCTATAAGAAGAATTGGCTTGTTCAGGATATTGCAGGTAGTGGTGATCTCTGTGAGGAGGCGCTGCAGTTAGACCCTCTCGTTACTGTATTAGAGAGAAGTCCATTTTTTTTTCTCCTTTAGAAATGTGGGAAGGCCCAATAATTTAAATTTTTTTTATTTCTAATAGAGTTAAATTTAAGTTCAATAAAGTGATGATACAGAGGGTATAGGCATGCCTAAAAATAATTGAGTGACAAGGAGAGCAAAAGAGACCTCACATAAGCACTATTTCAGCTCTTCATCCATAGCAAACATAGTGCATGTGCTGTGGTTGCTATCGTAACCTCTTAGCCAATGCTGTGTAGGGAGTACAGAAACTGAGTGGTCTACATCAGTCCATTCAAACTCTAGTATGCTGTAAATGAAATCCGCTTGTCTGTGTAAACAATGGGGTTTTCAGTGCTTTGGGCACGGAAATGTTTTGTATCAATTTTGTATTTTATGTATATTACTTATTTCTTAAAGGACCACTATAGTGCCAGGAAAACCACACTCGTTTTCCTGGCACTATAGTGCCCTGAGGGTGCCCCCACCCTCAGGGTCCCACTCCCGCCAGGCTCTGGGGAGAGGAAAGGGGTTAAACTTACCTTTTTTCCAGTGCCGGGCGGGGAGCTCTCTGCCTCCGTTCCTCCTCTTCGGCTGAATGCGCATGCGTGGCAGGAGCTGGGCGCGCATTCATCCTGTCTCATAGAAAAGCATTTATAATGCTTTCCTATTGACGCTGGCGTCTTCTCACTGTGATTTTCACAGTGAGAAGCACGCAAACGCCGCTAGCGGCTGTCAATGAGACAGCCAATAGAGGCTTTAGAGGCTAGATTAACCCATTTATAAACATAGCAGTTTGTCTGAAACTGCTATGTTTATAACAAAAAAGGGGTTAATCCTGGAGGGACCTGGCACCCAAACCACTTCATTAAGCTGAAGTGGTCTGGGTGCCTAGAGTGGTCCTTAAATTCGTATTAAAGGAACACACCAAGCTCAATAGGCCTTTGTAGTGTAGAGGAGGTTATGGTGCCAGAACCACTTGGCTAAATAGTTAAACTGTTTGCAAATGAGGTATTCTGGTCACCGTCTCTTGTTACCAGAAGCTTCTGGGCCGAGCACAGCCTGTTGGTTCATGGCTTAGCTCATTGACTGAGATTACTCAGCTGATGCTCTCAGCCAATGAGCCTACCATATATGGCAGGGCTTAGTTTAGTAGAGGTATCTATGCAGAGCTTGGAGACCCTGCACAGTATGCAGCACTGGACTAAGAAGCACCTCTAGTTGTCATCTGAGTGACTGTCGCTAGAGTTGTTCCTAGGCAGCATTGAAAATGCTTTTTCTTTGAAAAGGCAGTGTTTACATTGAAAAAAAGACTGCAGGGACAGGCATTAGATACAAGACCGACTACTTTAAGCTTTAATGGATCTGGTGATTATAGTGTCCCTTCAAGAATTTTTATTTATAATCATTTTTATTTTTTTTTTTATTTTTTTTTAAATCTGGCTCCTAGATTTGTCAAGCTTGCCTTCTCTCTCCATATAATCACTATCTGTAATAGCACATCACTAGTCCTCCCAACTGACTCTTGCGCTATTGATAGTCACCCAAAGTCTAGAGAGATACTTGAAGGTGGCAGTGTCTAGAAATAACCCGGAAGGATTGTTAAACCGTCATAAATAAGTAAAGTGGATTCCAGGACCCAAAAAGGAAGTATAATCAGGGTAAACTGCTGAATGGATCGGTCAGTTGAGATATCCAGATATTTGCTTTAAGGGACACTTCAGTGCCCATAAACAAAGTAAAATTCCCTGTTCAGTAGGGGAAATATCTAAACACCACTTGCAGATCTATTGTTTGATGCCTTTGTACATTCTCTCTGTGTAACTCAGCCCAGACATTCTCTAACTGTCCAATCACAGACTTCCCAAATGCATCCCAATGAGAAGTCTTTACAGGATCTCTGAGCAACTCCCTCTTGAGTTTAGCTGGATTAAGCTATACATCTAAGAAATAACAGAACTGGTTGTCAGATTTACATAAAAGTGCAAATTTCTCTTGAAATCTGCACTTTATGTAAAATGGAAAACAAATAGGAGACAGTCTTCACACATAAAGCTATTTAGCAAGCTGAAGTGCTTTAGGGTTTGGAGTGTCCATTTGCCAAGATTATACATTTTAACCACCCACGTAATGTGGCAAAGCCCTATCATTTAGGTGTGCTGCCTATATTTAAGTTTATAAGCGCTGATCCTTCTGTACACTCTTCACTTAATGTGACATACTCAGCTGATTTTCTAAAGAGTTTTAAACTGGTTGTGATAATTTTTGTATTTATTTTAGAGATTGTAATTTTTAACTTCTAATATATATATATTTTTTTTTTATTTCAGGCACATGAAGCCTCACATCATCATCACCACCACCACCATCAACAACAGGCTGCCCAAAACAGCTTGCTACCACTTTTGGGAACTCCGGTTGAGCCCCCTGATCAGAAGCCCATGTTACCTTTACCTTTAGCACAAAAACCTCAGACTCCAACAGAACCTATAAAAGAACCAGTTGTAGTAAAAAAAGAGAAACCGAAAACGTCATTTGTGTGTACCTACTGTAGCAAAGCTTTCAGGGACAGTTACCATTTGAGGCGCCATGAGTCCTGCCACACAGGAATAAAATTAGTGTCACGACCAAAGAAAACGCAAGTGTCACCAGTTGTGCCCCTCATCTCTACTATTGCTGGGGATAATAGCAGATCATCATTGGTATCTACTATTGCAGGAATTTTGTCAACAGTCACAACTTCTTCCTCTACTACCATTCCTAGCTCAAGCACTAGTATCCCACCAATGCCGGTGACTCAACCAGTAAAGAAACCAAGTAAACCAGTTAAGAAAAATCATGCATGTGAGATGTGTGGAAAGGCATTCAGGGATGTATACCATCTCAATAGACACAAACTGTCTCACTCTGACGAGAAGCCGTTTGAATGCCCAGTCTGCAATCAGCGTTTCAAGAGAAAAGATCGTATGACATATCATGTTCGATCTCATGAAGGAGGGATCACAAAGCCTTACACATGCAGTGTTTGTGGAAAAGGTTTTTCAAGGTATGGATTTTATTTTCAATTTCTTACATAAATTTATTTAAAAGTTTAACTTGCACTGCTCAGGTCAGTTAAAGTCGTATATTGGGTTCCTAAGGCGGCTCAAAGGGTAATTGGGCTTCTTTCTGCTCACTGTTGTTCCATCACAGTGTGAAGAATCCGTGCTAGAGGCAAGTAGATGTGAAATCATGTCAACAATCTCCTTTACAATTGTTTCACTTTATGATAATGCAGTGTCTCAAGATGTTGAACTCCCTTTGCAAAGAGTAGACTTATTTATACCAGAGGACGTTTATGCCTAGAAATCTCCAAATACTCAAAATGCCTTTGTCTGCACATTGTGTAGTTGGAGGGGCTGACTAGTACATGGCAAAGCTCTCGGGTCTGTTAGCGTTTGGGACCTATAGTTCAATTATCACATTATCAGCTTTCTACTTATGAATATATAACTCAGAGTAACCTTTTTGTTGGGCCTTCTTTTTTGCCATGTACAACCATGTTGTTGGGAAAAAATGCAGCTTTAAAAAATAAATAAATATGATTTATGGACCCATGGCATAGCTTACCGTATGCAGGACCAGCAAGAAAGTTATATGTAAGATTTACTTAGGAGGAGCAACCTATGAAATTACTTTCCTTTGTGGTAGACGAGCATTAGTCCATCTAAATCACGGTTGTCCAAAATGTTTTAAAACTAAAACTTCCATGATGCTTTGTCATTCTAAAGACATACTAAGCATGATGGGAGCTGTAGTTCTGCAACATCTGGGGAGCTACCTTTTGCGCACTCCTGCTCTAAATCTTACAATACAATATGGGTTAGCCCAGGGCTTGACAAATCCCAGGTTGGCATGGCCACTATGAATTTTGTTCTGGCACTTGGCTATTTCTCAGCTCGTTCCCTCCGAGGCAGGTGGCTGAGGGGGAGTGGAGGGCATGTGGCTGACCAGCTGTAAGGAATGGAGGGAGCTGCAATCTTCTTGCTCTGCTCCCTTGCGCTTACCATCTAGTGATACTGGTAGCTGGCATATATGTTGTCACCCTGGCCCAGGTTTCAATAAACAGCGCGCGGGAGAGGAGAGCATGAAGAGCTTGATAACAGCAGCCCCACTGGACTCCAGGAAAAGCCAATCCATTCCAGCTCTCCCAAATGTAGGGAGACTGGGTGGACTTAAATTGAATTAAAACATAATTTGCGTGTGTGTGTGTTTAGGTGTTTTTACTCACCTTTCTTCCCACACTGTGCTGGTCTCGCTGCGGTTGGCGCAACCTCCATGGCTGAGATAATCAAGCTTGGTGATATCAGCCAATCCAATGCTTTCCCGTAGGAAAGCATTGGGAGGCTCTTGTGCATGCACTGCAAAAGCTGCACCAATTAGCATTTACTCATAGAGATGTATTGAATCAAAATGTTCAGCGTTTTAGGTGCTGCACATTGTGCAGTACTGACATAGGAAGCAGTTTAGTGACTGTCTGAGTGCCACTCGAGTTGTTACTAGGCAGCAACACTGCCTCTTCTCTTAAAATGTAGTTTTTACATTGAAAAGTCAGCTGGGACAGGATATAGACACCAGAACTACTACATTAAGCTGTAGTGGTTCTGGTGATTGTCGTGTCCCTTTAAGAATTGTATTTTTGTCTTTGAAAATGGCTACTAGATTTATAACTAATTTGGCAAGCACTTAGTGTTTAACTTTATGGCTCTTTGATTTTATGGTCAGGTTTGCTGTCCGTTGCTTTCAGACTGGCAAGCAAATTAAGAATCTAGTAAAAGTCCTGTTGACTTGATATCCGCATAAATTTTAAATACTGGGTAAACCCAGACATGCCTTAAAGGAACACTGTAAATGCAAAAAGATATTCCTGACATTATAGTCTGAAATGGCTTTGCACGTGACATGTCTTGCTCCTATTGCACTGAAAATGTGGTTTCACTTACCTTTTTCTTCTGTGCTGGTCTTGCAGCTGTTAACTCCGCCTCCATAGTAAAGCTTTGTGAGGCCATTGTGCAAGCACAACAAAATGTTGCGCCAATCAGTATATCCTCATGGAGATGCATTGAATCAATGCATTTCTGTGGGAAACATTCAACGTCTCCATGCAGAGAATCTGAACGTTAGTTGACTAGGAAGCACTTTTAGTGGGTTTGAATAACTGCAACTAAATGTGTTAGGCACCAATGTAAACACTGTGTTTAATCTGAAAAGCCTGCAGGTACAGCCAAAGTGTAGCGTTGGTATGGCATGGGCATGGGCATGGTATGACGTGAAAGTATGAATTTCTGCCAGCTGTCAAACTGTTTAACAATTTAACAGAAAAGTTTATATTTATAAGTAGCAAGTAGTTAGTGTAGATTTCTACTTTTATATATTTATCTCTCTCCATCTCTCCTATGATAAAGAAGACTGGTGGTTTTAACACTATTGGGTCAGGAATACACATTTTTGTTCCTGACCCTATAGTGTTCCATTAACCATGATGGACCATTTAGGTGGCTTGCATCCATTACATTCACCCTTTCTTACATTTGATTTTTGCTATTGATCCAAAAGAAGGCAAAAAAACTATCTAAACCGCTTCCAATTGTACAACAAAGTATAAAAAAATAAAATAATTCTTGACCCCAGTATGGCAGTCAGATATATCCATGGATCAAGAAGATACCCATAGTACATGTTAACTAACTTTTGATATTTTTATCTCCTGCTAAATTGAACTTTAGCCACACACAGGAGACTCCTATAATGTCTAGCAAGCTATTAACGGTGCAGGAGAAAAATTCTAAATTGAATAGAATTTGCAATAAAGGAAGTGTAAACATTAGATCTAACTTTAGAGGAAGTGTTTAGGAAGGCTGTGTTTGTTATATGAAGGAAGATGTGACAAGGGCTGTATAAAAATAAATAGATTTTAATGCCTATGACACATAAGTGAGCAGTGAAGCTGCAGGGGAATGATCTATACACCAAAACTGCTTCTTTCAGCTAAAGTTGTTTTGGTTAATATAGTGTCCCTTTTAAATAACAATAGCTGCAAGCAGTGATGTCGTCGTTAAAACGTAATGACATTGCTATGACACGCACATATAAAGCAGCATGTAATAGGTGCTTAATTCTGGATAATTATTTTAAACGTTTGTAGCTTCAAAACAATAAAACTACCGAGGCATGACCTATGAGCCACTTGTGTATACAGGTGGTCCTCGTTTTGCGACCTACCTGTTTTATGACGGCTCGCACTTACGACCACCTCTCTCGCGGGTTGGTAAGTGCGAGCCGTCGTAGGAATTAGAGGGATTCCCTGATCTGCTGCGTTCATCTATGTTCGGGGAAATGTCCCTGAACATAGACAAGTGTACCAGAGCAGGGAATCCCTTAACTCCTCACTTACCGACCAATTTGTTCTACGACCAGGTCATAGGAACGGAACTCAGTCGGTAATTGAGGAGTACTTGTATTGCAAATATTTTTTATTTTTTTTTGCCTATGCCTTTTATGTATCTTGAATGTGTGTGTATTTTTCTGTTTAATATTTTTTTTTCCTCCCATACAAGTCAAGTACAATAACATTTTAAGGTTAGTTTAAGTAATAAAAGAATACATAGTCCATTACCGTGCAAGTATTTCAGACCAGTTCAGAATTGTCAGTTTGTTGTGGTAGGGGTTTTTTTTTTTTTTGTGTGTGTTTTGGACACCCATGTTGCTTTTGCAAAAGTGATAGGAGCCGCACTCAATCTCAGGAGCAGGACCTGCAATCCCACAACCTCTTAGCAGGTCGAAACATTGCTGCTCCTTTTGTTCTATTAAAACTGCAGCTTGAACACCTTGAGTGCCTGGAGAATTTCTTGTCAACCGTGTTGCCTTTGATACTTGAGTTATTAAATCTATGTGCCTTAGACATTTTAAAATAGCTAAGTGGTGCTATAAATGCAAATTTATTAAAAGGTCTTTGGATCAGTGAGGCCATTAATTTTGAACTACCATGTAATACAAGACCTTGATGAAGGCATGTTTCATCTCTTCTCTTCCCTTCCCTGCGGTTTAAGAGAAAGTGATCTTTTCTCATAATAAAATATGGCCATGAAGGCACATAGCACATATTCTTCTCTTAAAAGTATGATCAGTTTCTCATCTGCATTGTAAATGTATAAGTAGGACATTTCTTAAATGTTTTCCAATGTATACTAATGCAACAGCCGTAACATGCAACCTATCTATGACCTTCATATTTTCTAAGAGTATAGCAAAACTCAAAAAATTTCAAGCCCTAAACTACTAACCAGCCTCTCCCCTCCCCCCCACCCCCAAATCCCGACCTGTACTGTACTGTTTAGCCATGCATACTATTGTTAATTATTTTGGTTTATTTATATGCCGTGAAGTTGCATTATAATCGCTTTGAATTTACTTACTTATCTACTTTTATACAGACCAGATCACTTAAGCTGTCATGTGAAGCATGTTCATTCAACAGAGAGACCCTTCAAGTGCCAAGTAAGAACATATTTTTTTTATTTTGAGACATTTCTCATAAAATAATCTATGGTGTATGTATGTGTTTATTCTAATTCTATGTGTATTTTGATATTAATCTATATTTCCTTTCCCACACTTTAAAAAAAAATATATTTTTTGTTATAACACACACACACACACACACACTCAATGTTGCATGCATTTGATTGTGAATATTGTAATGCTGGCTTGATCTGCAGAAAATCCACCTCTGTTTATATTCAATGCATTGTCTTTTGAGAGCAGTGATTCCCCTCCCACCCAAAGGATGAGTTTTCAGCTATTTAACGCTATCTCATATTATTGCTTTATTTTGCCAGTTTTAGCAGTAATTATATTTGATAGTGTTTTAAACATCCTGCAATATTTCTTTACATTTTGTAGTCTTGATGTGTGCTACATTTGAAACAAATCATATGTGCTCCTTTGCATCCCTTAATTTTAGAAATTTCCCATGCTTATAGTTCTGTAAGTAGTTTTTTACTTTACTGAGCCTCAAGGAAGATGTTCACTATAACATATTGATTTGTCAGGGCCCCACCCAGCACTTCAAATCACCCATATTGAGATTTATAAGCAAAAGATAGCCACATGGGTGTTTCATGAAGTGATTTTTATTTCCTTACCACTCTACAACTATTGTTTGTACAATATAAGCAAGAGAAAAGAAGTTTAGACAAATGCTGCTATCATTATCACAGGTCTGATGTGTGCTACTACAGTAAATAAAAAATACCTATGTTTGGTTTTCACAAAAGTTACTTGGTACAACAATACAGCAATGTTCACTTTGTATAGGTTTGGCAGACTTTAGAGAAGCTATAGCGCCAAAGTAGATGTTTGAAAGATTAACCCCTTAAGGACACAACGTCTGGAATAAAAGGGAATCATGACGGAATATTTCCATCACGTGTCCTTAAGGGGTTAATGGAAGCATAAGTCTGCTATGGTTCTTTGTATGATTCCTTACGTAAAAGATTTTGTTCTGTAAAGGTAATGCTAATTATACTTTACTTTTTCCTCAGTTTTAAGGGCTGGTTGTAAGAAAGTCGGTTTGTGTAACAAGATACAGTTCTAAAAGTGCCAACTTCTATTGAAGTCTGTCCTTGTTGTAAAATTAAAAAAGTATCACAGTCTTCACACAAAGCATTTAAAGGGATGGCCTCTATCAAGAATTTTTTTTTTTTTTTCTCACTTAAGGTTACTTGGTTGTTCAAGCTTTTTGACTACCTCTCAAATACACATGTAGCAATTACCTGTTATGGGGTTATAGTTAAAGGGTCAAATTAAAAACATGCTAATTTTATTTTCAAATTTCCACTTTTCACTGATTCTCTTACTTTCGAGAAAATAATATCCCCCAACTACACTTTACCCCTATCCGTGCATACCCTTTGTAAAAGTAAACCACTTGAGCTAATATGAAATATTTCTAGGTTTTTTTTTTTGTTTGTTTTTTTTCTTATGTGGCCATTTCATTTCTATTTTCTGCCACATTTAGAGGTAAATTTTAGTTTTCCACCTTCATATGAAATTATTTTGAGGCAATAAATTCCAGTAAGACTGAAAGTTCCATATCAATGATATGGTTTTGAGGGCTGGAGTCCTTTGCTGAAATCTTACTTTAAGGTGTTAGATTGAAGGTGTGGATAGCCAGGAAATCTTATTTAGTATGAACTGCTCAAAATGGGTTTAAAGAGGCTGTCATCTTCTGGTGTCTTTCCATATTTTGCTGTGCAGTCGCACAGGGTTGCAGCGAAGGTGTTACCTGATGCAGTCCCCTGCAGGTGTAGTTATGACCTTTATTTAGCTCCTGGTGCTTTATTTGCTTGTAGCCTACGTCGATGAAGGAGACAATTAATCTTTCCCACAGCCGTCACTCTGAACAGCTGGGGGAAGTGACAACGGTAACAGGGGTCTTTTCACCTTTTGTTAAGGTTTGTCAAGCGGAGGAAAATTACATAAGACATACTTGCCTTATGTATTTTAGGAGAAAAAGATTTGAAATGAAGAAAACCGATTAGAAATGAGGAAAAGAGGAGTAATAGATTTGGGTTGACAGCTGCTTTGACACTGAATGGTGGGACAGCTTCAGAGTCCAGAGACTCAAGTCGCTGTAACTAATTGAATGAGATTAAATGGTTATAGTGCCTACATTGTCCCTTTTAATATTGCTTTCTGCTAGATAAACTAATTTTTTTTTCTTATGTTTCCCTCAGACGTGTACTGCTGCCTTTGCTACAAAAGACAGACTCCGAACACATATGGTGCGACATGAAGGGAAAGTGTCTTGCAATATTTGTGGCAAGCTACTTAGTGCAGCATACATCACCAGCCATCTAAAGACACATGGTCAAAGCCAAAGCATCAACTGTAATACTTGTAAGCAAGGTAAAAAGTTTCAAGGTAATGGATACTTTTTTTTTCTTCAGTCTTACAATATGCTTGTAAAGAAAGGAAAATATTCCAGGAAATCAATGTTTGTTATACGTAGGCTACAATAATATCCTAAATCATTCTCATAAGCTTATAACATTTTAAAGTCATTGTAAAGCTTTAGGGATACAAGCCTATATTCCTAATGCCTTAGTGTCGCTGTTCCTAGTTATGAAGGTCACCCTTCATACCCCATGTATGCCAAATAAATAAAGGATTTTACTCCCTATTTTTCAGCACTGCTTACCTCTCCTCCCGCTACAGTCCGTTCCAATGGTCCTCATAGCGGAGAATTTGGGACGTGATGCACATGCACCCAAGCTTCCCTTTTGGAAAGCATTTAAGCAGTGCTTTTCTACAGAGACTACAAAGTCACATGAAAGAGAGTGTTACTCGGTTGTTGCACAAGCCTTTCACTCTAGGCTCTGCCTTCTTCTCCTGCCCTTTGGGAAGTTTGGCGCGTAAAAGATGTGCGACTTACAAGAAAACTGTAGTTTTTCATTTTAAATGTATGAGACCCCTAGCTTTGACTGCTGGAAGCCATCAAAGATGAGATGACTTGCCTGGTCCCTTACAGGCTGATATGCAAATGTTCATTATAGTGGCACTGTTACTTGTGAATTTTTCATAGACAGATCTATTTTTATGAAACTTTCATAATTACTCCGTCCGTGGAATCGAAATATACACAAGTCAAAGTAGGGACTTATGTGTCTCCAGTTGGACCTGAATTTTTTCATTCTTTGACAATGGGGGATTAAGATCACAATGTCATCAAATCACATGAATGCAAAATAGATACATATGGCATCTCTTTGCTCAAGATTATCTCTTGAGACTCTTTAGAAGGTCTTTAACATGTAGCTGCCAGAATCTGTAAACCTGTACAAGGAAGATGGTACCAGAGAGGAGAGAAGACAGGCATATCATATACTCGAATAAAATTAAACTGTATAAATAAAGCATGTGTACCAATTAGCACTATATTCCCCTAAACAACTTTAGCTTAACGAAGCAGTTTTGATCATGCCTCTGAAGACTCCCTGCTCCATTTTCTGTCATTTAGGAATTACACCAATTTGGTTTCTGTTTGTGCAGACCTAGCCACACCTCCCCAAGCTTTGACAGACACAGGCTACATTAAAAATAAATGTTTAATTTTCAATCAGATGTTAACTTGCTTTATAAGTTTTTATCTCCTGCTCTTTAAATTGAACTTTAATAACACAGATTAGGCTTTTGCAAGGTCTAGCAAGCTATTAACCGTGGAGGAGATAAAAACAATTCTAAATTAAACAGACTGTGCTATACAGGAAGTTTAGACATTAGATGTCTCTCTTCACAAAGTTTTTAGGAAGGCTGTGTAGGTCACATGCAGGGAGGTATGACTATGGCTGTATAAATAAAGTTAATTATTTCCTAAATGGCAGAGCATTGAGCCTACAGGGACATGATCTATACACCAAAATTGCTTCATGAAGTAGTTTTTTTTTCTGACTATAGTGTCCCTTTTGAAAACATTGTGTAGCCACTAGCAGATTGCTAATTTCTTCTTATGATTACATCTCTCTAGTGTTGGTTGGTTCCTTTAAAATACAAAATCCTCTTCCTATAATATCACCATTTTTATCCTTTACTAGTTTAACCCTTTAAGGACCAAACTTCTGGAATAAAAGGGAATCATGACATGTCACACATGTCATGTGTCCTTACGGGGTTAAAGGACCACTATAGGCACCCAGACCACTTCAGCTCAATGAAGTGGTCTGGATGCCAAGTCCATCAGAGAAACTGCTATGTTTACAATAAGGTTAATCCAGCCTCTAGTGGCTGTCTCACTGTGAAAATCGCAGTAAGAAGAAGCTGACGTCCATTGGAAAGCTTTGGAAATGCTTTCCTATGGACTGTTGAATGCGTGCGCGGCTCGTGCTGCGCATGCGCATTCAAAGCTGACGTCAGGAGGAGGAGGAGAGTTCACCAGTGCCGAGGGAGCCCAGCGCTGGTGAAGGGAAAGTGTGCCAGGAAAACGAGTTTGGGTACCCTTTGAAGGGTTACGAAAATTGAGCTTACAATTCTTGCATATCTAGTAACTGCAAGTCCTTCCCTTTTTCCTTGACCTAAACTTTAACATCTCTGCCAACAGATTCGACTAATCTTTGTGCCATATATATGTGCAGCTGTTCAATCACAGACTTCTCAATATGCTGTATAACCCTTGCCAAGAGACTAGAGGCCATATAACCACCCATTGTACAGTGCTATCTGATGGCGTTATATAAATAATATAATAATATAACCAATCTTTCGGAATTCCATGTTTGAAATTTTGTATCTTTTTTTTTTTATTATTATTATTATTATTATTATTATTATTGGACTACCAGAATGTTTGTAATGACAAGCTTTCAGGAGATTTTCTCTTTCTCAAGTTTAAAGCCTTTCTGAGCAATACAGCACATAGATTTCAAAGAGTTGTGATACAGGGGTTAAGGCTACATGAGGGCAGATAATTATTCTCGCTCTCGCTCTCGCTCTCTCGCGCTCTCGCGCTCTCTCTCTCTCGTTAAAAAAAAAAAAAAAAGCTTTATTATATCCTTGCTGTATTTGGGCGTAAATGTAAATATGTACTCTGCATGAAATGAAGTATAAAAATATAAAATTGTCTGTCTTAACACCTTAAGGACACATGACGTGTGACATGTCAAGATTCCCTTTTATTCCAGAAGTTTGGTCCTTAAGGGGTTAAAGGGACAAAAGTCACCAAAAGAACTTTAGCTTAATGAAACTGTTTTGGTGTATGATCCATGCCTATGCAGTCTGACTGCTCAATTATTTGTCACTTAGGAGTTAATCACTTGGTTTATGGAGCCCTAGTTACACCACTAAAAGTATGTCTCTGCTGTGCAAGCATTTGGCGTTCCCCGTAGGAAGACCTTGAATCAATGCTTTCCTATGAGTTATTGCTCGCTTGCAAAATGAAATTACGTACAGCGTTGTTTCATGGAGTCATTAGTCTTAGTCTTAGCCCTGCCTCTCACAATAATGAGTGGCTAGGTTTGCGTAAACAAAGTGGTCTAATTAGTAAATGGCAGAATTGAGCAGTGAGCCTAAAGATGGGCAGTTAATTAAGAAAAAGTTGTCTTGTTACTTGGTTTATGCATTTTTAGGATCTTTTTGAACCTGGGTCACTGACAAAGGTGCATGTCAGAACCGAAATGCACATCGCACCATTTATTTATTTATTTTTTCTTATTTTTTATAGAGGGGTGTGGTGATAAGCACAATATTTGTTAGCACTCTAATTCTAATCATGAATTTTGATTTCAAATCTCATGAGGACAGGGGTATACCTATGTTACAGTGCACTTGCTGCAGAAATGTATTTTGGTACCCCCTCCCAAATTATTTTGTCTCACTATGCAATCACCCAGTCCACTCTTGTTAGGGAAATTACATGTGCTTACTTTTTCATATACACAGATTTGTATATAGACTCCTACACACACTCTCTTCCATATACACACACGTAATTTGTATTTTATTTATTTCGGGGAGAGTAAGAGAGGGAGATTACAGTAAGGAGCCCACCCAGCCTTAATTTTCTTACCTGAGTTTGAGGTCAAAGCATAACCAAAATATAGATTATTTTCATTTCCGCCATTTTGACCGTAAATGTACATTTTGCTTTTAATTCACTTTGCATTCTCACTTTATTGAATAACCATGTATAGAGTTGACCACACCCGCGTGTGCCTTAAAAATAGAAATAAAGGATTTCCTTACCTATTTTCCTGCGGCTGTTTATCTCTGCCTCCTTTGACGTCCTTGAGGAGCCTCCTCTGCTTGTCCAATCCAATGCTTCTTATAGAGGAGCATTGGGGACCTTATGTGCACTTCCAAGGTTCTCCACAGGAAAGCATTATTTACTCATTTAGTGCCACTGAAGAGTCTCTAGTAGCCGTGGAAGACAGCCACTAGAGGTGGATTTAACCCTACAATGTAAACATTTCTTCATTGAGCTTCTTTTACTTTGTGTCCCTTAAAGACAAAACAAAATGTTAAAACTTAACTTTTAGTGTAAAGTCCTGCTAAAATAGTCAAATGTGATGGTTGGGAATATCACTTAAGAAAAAAGTAATGATCAAAATAAAGTATTTACCAGTCAAACTAATATTCTCTAAAGACAGATCATTTGATCTTAGGTGGATTGTAGTGGTGTGTGTCAGATATAAATATACTGTGTTTGTGTCTATATGTATTAAAGATATTTACGAACTGTAACCAATTTTGCTATAACCACCAAAGATATGCATGGCACACCAACATCTCAATGAAAATATCACTGTGTCAAATCGAAAAACCTCCAACATTGCTAAGCACTTAAAGGATATCTATAGTCACCAGAACAACTCCAGCTTATTGTATTTGTTTTGGTGAGTATACTCATTCCCTTCATGCTTTTTTGGAGTAAACACTTCTTTCAGTGAAATTGCAGTGCTTACATTACAGCCTGGGGTTACCTCCACTGGCCACTCCTCAAATGGCTACTAGAGGTGCTTCCTGGAGCAGTACTGTACAGTGTGCAGCACTGCCATTCAGTGCCTCCACCCTCTGCATGGAGACACTGAACTTATTTCATGGAGATACATTGATTCAGTTCATCTCTATGAGGAGATGCTGATTGGCTAGGGCTGTGTTTGGCTGGCCAGGGCTGGCTATGCCCCTGATCTGCCACTCCAGTGCTGTGAAAGCATTTTGATTATATCAGAGAATCACTTCTAATGATGTCAGTGAAGCAGGCAGATCAGGGGCAGAGCCAGCAGACTTGAATAAAAGTAAGATTTTACTATATGTGAGGGGCAAGCAGGGCTAAATGGTGTTTTAAACACTTTAGGGTTAGGAATACGTTTTATTTTCTTGACCCCATAGTGGTGGTGGTGGTGGTGTTATTATTATTATTATTATTATTATGATATTTATAGAGCGCTGTCAAATTCCGCAGCGCTTTAAAATGGGTGGACGAACAGACATGTAGTTGTAACCAGACAAGTTGGACACACAGGAACAGAGGGGTTGAGGGCCCTGCTCAATGAGCTTACATGCTAGAGGGAGTGGGGTAAAATGACACAAAAAGGTAAGGATAGTATTAGACTAATGACAGTTGCAGAAGAGGAATCAGTCAGGAGCTATTAACAGTTTAACTGATACGCTTTTATGAAGAAGTGGGTTTAATGATTTTTTTGAAGAAGTGGAGACTGGGTGAGCATCTAACGGAGGAGGGAAGCAAGTTCCACAGGAACGGTGCAGCCCTCGAGAAATCTTGAAGGCAAGCATCAGAGGTGGGAGTACGGACAGAAGATAGACGTAAGTCTTCAGCAGATCGTAAGGGCCTAGACGGGACATACTTGTGTATAAGGGAGGATAGATAGGTGGGAGCAGCATTATGTAGAGATTTGAAATCAAGAACCGGAATTTTAAATTGAGCACTATATTTTATAGGAAGCCAATGTAGGGACTGACAGAAGGGTGAGGCATGGGAGGTGCGGGCGGACAGGAAGATGAGCCTCGCCGCCGCATTCATTATGGACTGTAAGACCACTGAGAAGCGGATTACAGTAGTCAAGGCGAGAAAGGACAGTGGAATGGACCAACACCTTAGTCGCATCTGGCGTTAAGTAGGGGCGGATGCGCGCAATGTTTTTGAGATGGAAATTACAGGATTTGGCAATAGATTGAACATGAGGCTTGAAGGAGAGGTCGGAGTGAGAGAGAACACCTAGGCAGCGAGCCTGCGTGGTGGAGCTGATGGTAGCACCGTTGACTTGGAGAGAGGGAGACACAGGAGTAACAACACTTGAGGGCGGAAAGACCAGAATTTCAGTTTTAGTCAAATTTAGTTTAAGGAAGTGGGCAGCCATCCAGTTAGAAACAGCAGAGAGGCAGTCAGAGACACTAGTCAAGAGGGACGGGGAGAGATCAGGAGAGGACAGGTAGATTTGCGTGTCATCTTCATAGAAATGATATTGGAAGCCAAAGGAGCTAATGAGTTTACCAAGGGAGGCAGTATAGGGGACCAAGGACTGAACCTTGGGGGACACCAACAGAGAGGAGTTGGGGAGAAGAAGCAGAGCCAGAGAAAGAAACACTGAAAGAGCGCTGGGAGAGGTAGGAGGAGCACCAGGAGAGAGCAGTATCTTGTAGACCGATATTGCTGAGGATGAGAAAAAGCTGTTGATGATCAACAGTGTCAAAAGCCGCAGACAGGTCAAGGAGAATTAGGATAGCGTAGTGACCACAAGATTTTGCAGCGAGTAGATCATTGGATACTTTGGTCAGTGCCGTTTCCACCGAGTGCTTAGCGCGGAAACCAGACTGAAGTGGGTCTAGCAGAGAGTTGGGCTCGAGGAAGTCTGTCAATCTCGCATACACAATTTTTTTTCAAGGATCTTGGATGCAAAAGGCAGTAGCGAGATAGGACGATAGTTGGATGGCATACCCAATTGCACTGATGCCTCTCGTCTGCTTTCTGTAACCTCCTCGTTTGGCCTTACGCAATTGTCCAATCTGGCAACCCATACAGCAGGAAAGACTCTTGATCTTGCCTTCACCAACCTCTGTACTGCCTCGAATCTCTCCAATATTCCCTTTCCTTTATCTGACCACCATCTGCTGACTTTTGACATTGGCATACCCAATTGGGTCTTGGGTATGCCAATGTCAAAAGTCAGCAGATGGTGGTCAGATAAAGGAAAGGGAATATTGGAGAGATTCGAGGCAGTACAGAGGTTGGTGAAGGCAAGATCAAGAGTCTTTCCTGCTGTATGGGTTGCCAGATTGGACAATTGCGTAAGGCCAAACGAGGAGGTTACAGAAAGCAGACGAGAGGCATCAGTGCAATTGGGGTTATTGATTGGGATATTGAAATCCCCAAGTATAAGGGAAGGAGTGCTAGATGAAAGGGGGGAAGCCAGGAAGAAAAGTGCTCAATGAATAGTCTAGGATAACAATAGTCTAGGATAGCAATTCTTAAAGGAGTGGGTTTAAATAGGCAGACAGTGTGAACTTCAAAAGAAGAAAAGGATAGGTCAGGGGGAGTTATGATTGGTTGAAAGGTACATTGAGGGGAGAGAAGGATGCCTACGCCGCCTCCTTTACAGTTGAGTCTGGGAGTATGAGAGAATTGTAGCCCACCAAAACATAAAGAGGCAGGAGTAGCGCTATCAGAGGGGGACAGCCAGGTCTCTGTAAGTGCAAGCAGTGTGAGTGAGTTTGAGATGAAAAAGTCGTGTATGGTTGTCGATTTTAAATTACTGCAGATGGAGCGGGCATTCCAGAGTGCACAATTAATTTTGGTAAATGAGGGTAAAGGGCAGGGTATTGTGATGAGGTTTGTGGGGTTTCTGGTTGTCTTAGTGTGTGTAGAGAAGGTGAAAGGCCCTGGATTGGGAGAAACGTCACCAGCTGCTAGAAGTAGAAGGAGAGAAAGTGACAAAAGGTGTGAATGGGTTTTGTATGCATGGGGTCTAGGATGAGATCGATTGTGGGTTGGAGTGAGAGAGTAGAAAAATGAGTGTAAGGCATGAGATGAGAGAAGGGGGGAGTGTAGCAGAGAAGGGCATATGTGTAGCGGATGGCACTGGGCTGTCCTGAAAATTTCATGTGTTCACTGCATTCGTGGAAATTGCTGGTTTTATATGTGTTTAAATAAAGTGTATTCGTCTGATTGTTCGATAGAATCATTCGAATAAACTAAGGGAATGAAACTACCGAACAATCAGACCTCCCCTGTGTGAAGTGTGCCTCCAATTACCCGTTGCAACAATGTTGCGAACGGGTAATTAACAAGCTATGCAGTAGGTCCTTTGTCTCGGGGTGGCCGCCATTCGGGAAACGAACACGTGGTGGCGGCCATTTTAAAACTCCCGAACAGCGGTGTTTTGCCGTCGAGTGTCTGGAACCCAAATCGGACACTCGACTAGGCGAACACCGCTGAGACCTCCACAAGCCCGGTCCGTTCGGTTCCAAACTACCGAACGGCCCCTCGTTCGGTAGACAGAAACAACCGAACAAGGGGATTCATGTGAACCCTACCTGATCTCTATAGCCTTAGCCGTTCGTGTAAATTATTCCCTTGTACTGGGACCGACCGCAGGGCCCATCGCATGGAACCCAATTCGGCTGTTCTATCCAGCGCGGTCGGTCTTTTTAGTACCTCCATAAATTTCCCTAACGCCTGGTCCGATCTGGGTGATTTTTGGATATGTTGCTCACCCAGATCAGGATTACCAGGGGATTTAAAGGGGTACCCCTAGGTTTAGGGGTACATCCAGAAACTGGGGGAATTTGGATACAGTATAAGGGGATTATGATGCAGGCTGAGGGGAGGAGATGTTTGGGAGGTTACTATTGTCGGATTGGGTACTGTACTAATTGATGAAAATCCCTCCCTTGCATGGGAGCATGCTATATAAAGCACTGTGGAATAAAGGTTGTCAGTTCTGCTCCTGATGCTGTGTGTCGTCCAGTCATTGGGATTGCTGTGGGGATACTATTGGATTATTTTGCCTGTTGGAAACCTTGCCTGTGGATTTATAATTTACTTGTTTCTGAGCCTCACTGGGATCATAAGCGGAGATAACCTGGGGAATATTGTATCTCCGCTACAATATGTAAATGTGGATGGGGTGGATGAATGAAGTGGGTGTAAGGAGAGATTTTTATACTGAGGGATAAAGAGGAGGAGAAAACAGATCATTGCTAAACTGTGAAAAATAAAAATTGGAGATAATTGGAATATCAAGAGCAGGTGAAGGTGTTTTATGGGTTAAGAAAGTGCAGGAGTGTACTAATGAGAGGCAGGTTTTTTTTTTGTTTTTTTTAACCTAACTAAAATGTAGGTGTGACAGACAATCTATAAATGTAATAATGAGCATGGGGTGGGATGGTGGGCATCAGTCTTGCTCACTGAAGGAATGGGCTTGCAAAGTTGGGGAATCAGGCTGTTGAATAAAGAGATGTGAGGGTCAGAGAGCTTGCAATAAAGGTAAGGGAGGGGGAAATGTATCTAGGTACAGAGATGAAGAGATGGATATTCAAATAAAAACAAACATATCAATAAGAAAAGGGAGGGGTCAGAGGTCAGTCACAAATCAGAGGGGAAATAGAGGAATGCATATAGGTGAATAAAACTATTACATACAGGGCTAGCAAAATTACACTTTAGCATAAAATACAAGATATAAATACGAGAAAACAAGTAAAAATACAATGTACACAGGATATATTAAATAAAAATAAAATAAATGTACAGGGTGGTTAAGTTAAAAATAAATGAAGGTGTGTAGGATAGAGTCTTAGTGTTCCTTTAACCCCTTAAGGACCGAGGACGGTTCAGGACCGTCATCGGCATTTTTGCCTTGCCGACCGATGACGGTCCTGAACCGTCCTAACGGTCTGGGGGTACTTACCTGATCGCCGTCGTTCCCCCGGCGGCGATCAGTGTTCCTCCTGTTGTGGGGAGACTGCCTGCAGCCCAGACAGTCTCCCCACGGCAGATTAGGACCCCTGTGGCCATGTGATCGCTTAACACAGCGATCACATGGTCACAATAGGTGTCCATGTGTCTGCCTGCAGGGGGACTGCCTGTACTGACAGGCAGTCTCCCTGCATGTGTAAAATCAGAAAAAAAATTAAAGTTAATGGTAATAAAAAAAATAATAATAATTATATATGTATAAATATGATATATAGACATATATTATATCTATATAATATATGTCTATATATCATATATATATATAATGCCATACTAAGTGTATTTTTATATTAATATGTACTTATATTAATATAAAAATACACTTTAAATTACACACGTATATATATAATATATATAATAACTATATATATTGTATATATATATTATTATAAAATATAAATAATAAGTAATTTAAATTAAATAATTTTTTTTTTAAATAATAATAAAAAATTAAAAAAAAATTATATAGTTATATGAAATTTTATTCTAACTGTATTTTAAAATTAATATATATATATATTTATATCAAAATACACTTAGAATGAATTTGTATATATATCTATGTATATAAAAATAAATAAAAATAATAACAAATATACATATGTCCATATACAAAATTACATAAATAATTATATAAATATACACGTAGACTTCAAATATATAAATATGCATATATTTAAATTCTACGTGCGTATTTATGTAATATTTTTACATAATTCAGTAATTTTATTGATTGCAATTTGAGGGACCTGCCTGCCAACCCAGGCCGAAATTCCAGAGAATTTAATTTGCTAGCACTGTATTTTACCCTGTAACGTTCTACGACACCCTAAAACCTGTACATGGGGGGTACTGTTTTACTCGGGAGACTTCGCTGAACACAAATATTAGTGATTCACAACAGTAAAACATATCACAGCGATGATATTGTCAGTGAAAGTTACTTTTTTTGCATTTTTCACACACAAACAGCACTTTTACTGATGATATAATTGTTGTGATACGCTTTCCAGTTTTTAAACACTAATATTTGTGTTCAGCGATGTCTCCCGAGTAAAACAGTACCCCCCATGTACAGGTTTTATAGCATTTTTGAAAGTTACAAGGTCAAATATATGGGTCAAATATTTTTACATTGAAAATGGCCAGGTTGGTTACGCTGCCTTTGAGAGCGTATGGTAGCCCAGGAATGAGAATTACCCCCATGATGGCATACCATTTGCAAAAGAAGACAACCCAAGGTATTGCAAATGGGGTATGTCCAGTCTTTTTAGTAACCACTTGGTCACAAACACTGGCCAAAATTAGCGTTCAATTTAGTTTTTTTACTTTTTCACACACAAACAAATATGAATGCTTACTTTGGCCAGTGTTTTCGACTAAGTGGCTACTAAAAAAGACTGGACATACCCCATATTGAATACCCTGGGTTGTCTACTTTAAAAAAAATATGTACATGTGGGGTGTTATTCAGAGATTTATGACAGATAATAGTGTTACAATGTCACTATTGATAAATTTTAAAATGTATGTTTTGAAACCGCAATATCCTACTTGTACCTATAGCCCTATAACATGCAAAAAAAAGCAAAAAAGCACGTAAACACTAGGTATTTTTAAACTCAGGACAAAATTTTGAATCTATTTAGCAGTTTTTTTCATTCGCTTTTGTAGATGAGTAAAAGATTTTTCAAGTAAAAGTCAAAAAACATGTATTTTTTTCAATTTTTCATCAGATTTTTGTATTTTTTTTAAAATTAAAATACATGAGATTATATAAATAATGGTATGTAAAGAAAGCCCATTTTGTCCTGAAAAAAACAATATATAATTTGTATGGGAACAGTAAATGAGAAAGCGGAAAATTACAGCCAAACACAAACACCACAAAAGTGTAAAAATATTCCTGGTCGCAAATGTACAACATCGCAAAAACAGTCCAGTCCTTAAGGGGTTAAGGCCTCTATTGAAATTTGCAAAAATGGGACGTTTCAGTTAAGTTCATCGCAAGTAACCGTATCTCGCAGTTAATGTTTTACAGTTAGAATTACTTTACCTTTCTAAACCATTGTATATTTTTTTTCCCATTATTAAATTTGCTTCATATAAAACATTGTGCCTATACGTACAAAATATGTAATCCCTTATTCCTCATGATTTATCAAAAAAGCACATTTGATTTCTGCCTTAAATGCCTTGTTAATATTCGGTTTTGATGTTTCTTTCCTTTGTATACATATATATACTTTCAACACTTAGACTGGAGCAAATGATTTATTGAATTTGTTATGCTTTCAATCTGCATGTAAAGAGATACATGTCTTGTTTTAATTTAGGACAACTTCATGAACTTCAAAGTCCAGTTCATTGTCGAATCAAATATGAAGGTATTTATCAGCTTTTACAATTTAAGTCCTGAACAAATGTCTTCCAGATCAGAAATATTAACAATTTGAAATTTTCATTTTATAGAAAAAAAATTCTTTCTAGTGTCTTTCCACTGCCTGTATCTGAAATGTTTCCCACACATGGATTAAAACAAATGTGGTATCCCATTAAAACCCGAATCGGATTCAGTCCACACTGTTGGCACTGTAACTGCTTCATTTCATTGCAGTTAGTGTATCGAGACCCCTAGTGCTGTCCTTCCATTCAGTGTTAAACCAATTTTAATGCTAAACAAGAGCCCCCAGCAACCCGTTTCTTCTGTGCTGCTTGGGTTAATGGGTGGCTCTGTGCATTAGCCTTACCTTCGACCTGAGGGTGGCCAGGGATCCATATTTATTGCTATATTTAAAATGGTTTAATACTGAATGGAGGTATGGCTCAGAGCACTTCAGGCACTCTAACCAATTAAATTACTATAGTGCCTACAGTGTCCCTTCAATATAAGGTAGGGTGACACAGAATCACTAATGCCTCGAATTCATCCTGCAGCCTTGCTTGCTGGCAGTTCTGTACTTTCAAATTTAACCACTGGGATCTTTGCACACTTGCTCATTGAATTTACTTGAGTTTTAGTAGCTTTACCAGTAATTGCCTACATAAATTTACATATGTAAGTTTTAAAGCATTTTAAAAAGTTATGTGTAAGACAATGCAGTGCCCTATTTATGTTTCAATAATTATTTCTGAAAACATCAAAACATGTTTTTTTAGTCTTTTATTTAAAAACAAAAACAAAACACTATTATAATATAGGTGGCAGTTTTAGATCAATCAATTCTATCTTTCTGCGTAATTGCTGTTACTGATTTTTGAATACATCCTCCCTCCCCCCACCCCCCATTGCTTTCTATTGTTTTTGTTTTTTCTTTCCTAATTGTGGGACTTTGATGCATTGCTTTTCCTCTTATTTCAGCTTCAGACTCACTGTTTTGTGCTGTGGATCAGAATCATAGGACATTTTCAATAGGTGATTTTATGTCATTATAATAGTTGACTTAGGCCATATTTGTGGTTAATTGGTTTGTTCTAATTATCTAGGAGTGCTTGTTCACCAATATACAGGGGAGTTTAAATGGACACCAGTAGAAAACTGAAGTAAAATAGGGATTGTTTTGGAATAAAACACGTGGAGAAGCAAACAATAATGTGTTTAGCAAAGAATGAATTTAGGTGTAGCATGATATTAATGTATTAATATTTTAAGGAACGTAATGGAAAAAGGGGAACTGCCATATAGCTAGAGTAATGGGAAATTTAAGGTAATATAGGAAAGAGTTGTAAATGCTTGAAAGTAACTTCCAGCTGATGGCTTGCACATGAATGGTGTAGAAAAAAAGATAAGTTGTATCTTGCCTGGCTAACAAAACTCTCCTATTAAAGCCTATTCTTGTAGACCGAAAATAGTAATTGGACTTCATAAATTTGGCAGTGTTTGATACAAATTTAGGTGTAAAAAAAAAAAAAAGTGTGTGTGTGTGTGTATATTTTTTTACACCTAAATTTGTATCAAACATATAAATAGCAAAGACGACGCACAGAATACAAAAATAAGTTGTGATACAGGGGTTAGCGACATAAGTGCAGATAAGCCACAGGTTTGATAGAAAATAGACATTATTCTCGCAGAGGGTCGTAAATAGTGTGTGTGTGTGTGTATATGTGTACACAATATATATTGTGTATTGAGTCAAAACAAATCCACCTTAATAACTATAAAATGCTCAATCCAACTTCCTTAACAATTACTGCATCAGCCCGGCTAGCTCAGCCGGTAGATCATAAGACTCTTAATCTCAGGGTTGTGGGTTCGAGCATTGGGCGAGATTTGTAATTTGTGTGCTAAGATAGCTCAGTGGGCTAATGCTTCATTAGAAGATCTGTTCATCACTTGGGGTTCAGAGGTTCAATTCCTAGCAGGGTTGACTCATCCCTTCATCCCCTTGAAGTAGATAAAATGAGTACCATTAAATCGGGTAAAAGGAACATCCCCAGGATGCACTTGGCAACCAGAAAATATCTGAATGTCTCTTTCCTGTTTAAAAAATGTTTTTAAAGAAGAAAAACTACCACAACAAGAGGTCATAGTCTTAAATTAGAGGGGGAAAGGTTTAAAAATATCAGGAAGTATTACTTTACTGAGAGGGTAGTGGATGCATGGAATAGCCTTCCAGCTGGTAAAGGTTAGCACAGTAAAGGAGTTTAAGCATGCATGGGATAGGCATAAGGCTATCTTAACTATAAGATAAGGCCAGGGACTAATGAAAGTATTTAGAAAATTGGGCAGACTAGATGGGCCAAATGGTTCTTATCTGCCATCACATTCTATGTTTCTGTGCATTATTTGGGCTGCATATCAACCATATCACATAAGTGTTGTTCAATTTGATGTCGTTCTTTATTTAAAAAAAATAAAATAATTGTTTTCTTTTTCAGACACAAGTAGCATGTGCCAAACTTCTACTGCAGCTCAGACACCAGTGACTCTCACTTCTCCCTTCAACATTACTTCTTCTGTAGCTGCTTCGGGAACTTTGACTAATCCTGTAACAGTAGCAGCTGCAATGAGTATGAGCATGAGAAGTCCAGTTAATGTTTCCAGTCCTGTTAACATCACATCTCCAATGAATTTGGGACACCCTGTTACCATAACCGCACCAATTTCAATGACATCTCCTCTATCGTTAACCTCTCCAGTCAATTTGCCTACTTCAGTCACTGCTCCAGTGAATATAGCACATCCAGTTACTATAACAAGCCCTATGAATCTGCCTACACAAATGACGTTGGCTGGCCCTTTAAATATTGCTATGAGACCAGGGGAGAGTATGCCATTCTTATCCCAAGCTCTACCGTCTTCAACACCTTGGTAAAGAATATTTACAACAGTATTATAACACGTTACTTCTAAGTATGATTTGATAGGAAGTCTTTAAAATGTTTTGATGCTGGTGTGTTGACGTTTGAGTTTGGTTAATTCACCGGTTGTACTTCAGCCTCTGTATTTATTGTCCTGCATCACATCTTTGTATTCAGGAGGGGAGGTAAATCATTACGTCAAAGTTTAGTGTAGAAAAAAAACATTTATACTTTTTCTTTTTTATTATTTTTTTTATTTTTTTTATAGCTATTAATAGTTTAACACTATCAAGCAAATCCCTTAATATAATTACTACAATTTTAAATACGGTTATCACTACGAAACAGAAACAAAACAATGATGCTGGTGTGGTTTTTCCTTGGTGCTTCTTAATTGCATGAAATTTGCATAATGCAAAATGTGTTCAGAAATTCTGAATTTTTTTGTAGGAATTATGTTAGCATTCCCTATGGGAAGGGAAAAGCACCAATATGCAGAAGATATAAATATTGACTTTAATATACCTTTTTAATTTACACAGTTAAGGTTTTCCACTCATTAGGTGAAATGAACATCATTGCTTTGTTTGTGAGCTCTTATGGAGATTCTGTTTAGGTATTTGGAGGTGTAAATATGGTTAACATTACCTAAAGGGAATGGGTGTGTGTGTGTGTATATAATATATATATATATATATATATATATTACATTACACATGCTCATATACTCTACAGACCTGTACAAGCCCTATTCCTAACTTATTGTAAAGTGATTGTGAAACTTCCTAGAAGCTGCAATAATCAACATGAGATGAAGCAAGAACGCCTGCCACAAAAACACAAAATGGATGTTCAATAATGGATGCAGAAGCACAAGGAAAACCCAAATAAGAGATGACTCATTGATACCCCTTAATGGACCTGATGGATTTTAAATGAGGGGTATAAATTGTTCAAGAACTTTTGTATCATGTTGAAATTCTTTTCATTTTCTAACCACTAACTAGATAGTGAGCCCAAGACCAGCTACGGCTATATCTGTTTTATTTTTTTGGTGTTTTTTTGTTACAAGTGCTGTAGAAATGTTTTAATGTGTAAATATTGCATAGCATTTTTTAATTTTTATCCAGAACCATTTTCCTTTTAGTATCCTTTCATTACTCATGGCAACGGTGGGTTCGTGTTAGTTCTGGCCTTTCCCCCATAGCACTTGCTTATTGGTCAGATCACAAACACTTATGTAGACACACCCATTTCTAAGTTACATGTATTTTTTTTTTTTTTTAATATTCCCTAATATTAACTGTATTGTAGAAACGAACAACCAAAACATTTTTTAAATGCTTTTTAGGCTATCCTGTGACATTAGCTTTTTGTTTTAGATATGTGTTAAAATTTTAATTAATGTAGAGACTAGCAAACACCTGGAAATCTGTGTTTAACAGATTTCTCCAGCCTTTGGAATTATAGAGAATATTAAACAGAGACTCTACATTACAGAAAAAATAAATAAAATAAAAGTCCACTTAACAGATTTTAGAGGATATTTTTTATTTATGCATTTAACTCCTTTCTGCTAGAGAACTGTGTGCTTTTAGTCTCTAGCAGGAAAAGGGAACTGAATTGTTTTTAGATCATGTATTCTAAAATAACTTCCTCTATGGCAGTAGAAAACAATGGCATGCTTTAAAATAAAAAATTACAAACTTCTAAAAAGAGACATCTAGATAGGAATATACAAACAATTTTAGGGGCTTGATATATACAAAAATAGAGTTCAGTTTAAATAAAATTAATTTTATAACTGATCTTTTGTACTGTAGGACATTAATCTGTACATCTTTTGTATATACACAATCTTAGGATCTTTCTGTTACGCAGGAAGAAGCCACATTCCCACTCTTTGACTGTATACGTTTGTTACAATGTCCATGTAAACATATGCCCCATGTTTGTGCCTTTTTAATTAGTTTGTCTCAATAAACAAAACTGTAGAGAAATACTTGCTCTATATTGCATATGTCCTGCATATACTTTAGTATGTAACACCCCTGCATTGATTGGAGTCTTAGGTGATGTAATGTACGATTTCAGCAGTTTATCTCAAGCAGTGCTGTCAGTGGCCAAGCTGTTTATGTTTACTTAAGATTTGCTGGGAGCATGGACATAAATGCTAGGAATTCAGCTACACTACTCAGGACCATACCCCTTCCAATGGACAAGATACTGAAGACTACTCCTAAGGAACCTAGAGTTAAGGATAGCAACAACCTCGTATTCCTCAACTCCTTCAACAGAAACCGAATGTGGAGAAGCTCGAGACCTAGTAAAACAATTACACACAAGGGTTTCAGCAGGAAGGTATGAAAGACGTAAGGCATACGCATGGAACGAGACATGTTCAAAAGCATACGAAACGGTTCACCTTGTGCATGACGTGGAAAGGACCTATAAAGCAAGAATTTAACTTTATGGAAGGTACTCAGTCTCTGAGCAGAATCTACCAAGAGCTGGTGAACCTGCTACCATGTACCATACAAACCAGTCATGTGCTCCTAAAGAGCTGGCATTCCCCGTTAGGAAAATGCAGTCGGGCGAACAGGATGCCGGCCAGATAACGTAGAATGGGCTATTTTATGAGGATTTGTGAGTTGCCTTATTGCGAGCAAACTCTGCCCAAGGAAGCAAGAAAACCCAATCATTCTGGTGATGTGAAACAAAGCAACTACGATACTGCTCTAGCACGTTCGGCAGCTCCATTTGTCTGTGGATGGTAGGCAGAGGAAATGGACAACTTAATACCCTTCTCTGAGCAGAAAGACCTCCAGACACGAAAAATAAATTGACTACCTCTGTGTGACAAAATTTGTTCTGGTATGGAGATGGAATATCTCTTTTTAGAAAATCCCAGCTAACTTGTCAAAATAGAGTAGTTTTGTAAGGGGTATCAAATGGGCCATCTTAGAAAACCTGTCTATAACCATAAGTATGACCGTGTGTCCACTAGAAAGGGGCAGGTCTACGATCAAGTCAACAGACAAATTGGACCAGGGTTTTGTTGGTATGGGTAATGATTGAAGCAGACCACAACTGTTCTTTTAGCAGCGCAAATGTCACAAGCTTTTACACATTTCATATATATATTTTTGGGGAAGGCTACTAGAAGGCCAGAGAAATTAGGTTAGTAGTCATGGTTATACCGTGATGTCCTGCAGGCTTGCTCTCATGACATAAACTCCTAAGCTTCTGGCCTCAGGGGTAACAATAACTTATTGTTAGGTTTATCAGGGGATTCAGATTGAGAAGACATAATGTGATTTTTCAGAGAAATGGATACGGAAAGAACTTTTGTGGCTACAATTGTTTCCAGAGGAATGATAAAACTTTCCTCTTTACTTGCATCACACTGCCTAGAAAAAAAAAATTTGCTTTAACATTGCATGGTCCAGGCATATAAGTAATTATAAAATGTAACCTGGACAAGAAGAGAGAACATCTCACCTGCCTGAAAATAAGCCTTTTAGCCTCTGCAAGGTACAAGAAATCTCTATGATCAGTTAATACCATTATAGGATCTTGGGAACCCTCTAGGACAGGGGTAGGCAACCTTTTAGCAGCACTGTGCCGATATAGGATTGTGATGTCCCGTAGCGTGCGGTCCTATTTTTATAATTTTTTTTAATTTTTTTTTTAATTGAGGTGTGTATGCTGCCGTATTTTGCTTGTTATTTTTACTGTAAATGCTTTGTATCGTTGTATATGTGCGTTTATGCAGGGCCGTCTTTAATATTGACTGGACCCTGGGCAAAGCATTTGCTTGGGGCCCCCTGGACCCTGTTCCTCCCCTCCCCCCCCACCGGGTGTGCAATAATGTCCTCCACCCCAATGCTGACACACACAGACATGTTGACACACACACACACACACAAGCATACTAACACACACAAAATTTACACTTTAAAACCCACCCTCCAGTTTCCTACCTTTCCTGCTGGTGGCTGAAGGTGTTGGGAGTTGGGTTCTGGCTCTCTCGGCCAGCCCCCCTCCACTGTGCCTACTCTTCTTTCCCGTGTGCTCCTCTCTTTGTGGGAGGAAGTGATTCACGGTTGTCCCTTCCTCCCAGCCTGCTGCCGAAAAGCAAGGGGCCCGCTCGCGCGGTTAAAGTGCCTCAGCGCACGACCAGACCCCTGCTGACAGAAGAGAGAGTAGGGAGGTAGGTTAGCGCTAATAATATAATAGGCAGCGGCCTAATAGAGGGTCACCCTCTAACCCTCTACTTTGAGAGTGTACAACAAAAGCAAGGAAAGGCTGCGCCAAGAGAACTAATAAATAATAAAAATACTAAAAAAACACAAATATAACTTATATTATATAAAATGTGTGTGTGTGTATGTATATATATATATATATATATATAAAAAAATATGTGTATAAAATAGTCCCAATTGTATCAGAGATTGTATAGTCTTAGTTGCTGTTTCAGCTGGTAGGATATCTTCTCTGTTTGTAGTAGATCGTCTTGTGACATAAAAGACACAATGAGAAAGGACCAATTGTGTAGAGTGTATAAGATAAAAATGAATTAAAATAAAAGTAATACACTCACATTCGAATGCGCTATGGCCAGCTCAGGTGTAATAGGCATACAGCGTATTAATCCCCGCTTGTAGGATGTGTGGATGCTTTTTCAGAGAGAAAATATAAACAATCAATAGTGTTCTCTGATGATACGATGTAAAGAGAGATTAAAATAAGATATACTCACAAATGGAGTGCAGGCCTGTCTGCACTCGAATGATAGCGTGGGTGGTATAATCCCCACTTTAGGATTAATGAAATGCCAGGAACGGGTAATAAAAGATATATAAAAATTAGATTGTATAGAGGAATAATAATACAAAATTATTTATTTATATACAATATAATAAAACCAATAACGCGTTTCACCACTAGGGCTTTATCAAATTGGTATAACATTAAAACCTGGCAATAAAGGAGTATATATAGGTACATCAATCATTTTAAATTGGCGCCAAAATGACATACTCAAGCAGCAGCCAATCAGAGCTATTCATTGTACTAATTACAAATACACTGATCAAAAGGGAAGAAAAATTAGTTTTAAACAAATAAGTTCTATACTGGCCCAAACAAATGAAAACAGTGGCAGCGCACGGCCGCATGGGAGCAGTAGAAGCAGGAGCGCCGCCACTGTTTTCATTTGTTTGGGCTGGTCACGTGACCCGCGAACTGCACTTCCTTGTAGTGCCGCGGGTCAAGTGACGTGTTCCGATCCCGCCCTTTGCCACCCACTTGTGAGACGGTCGCACGACTCATGAGCTCTATGCTGCCTGACATTATGGCAATGCCGGCGCCGGTCACGTGACTCGCGCACTACATTCCCCAAAGTGCCTTGCGAGTCACGTGACGCGCACTAACTACCTTACCTTTTATTTCATGATAAAAACTTCGTTTTTAATCATTTGTATATGTACATAACTATGTAAGTTATTATCTATGTTTAAAACTAATTTTTCTTCTCTTTTGATCAGTGTATTTGTAATTTGTACAATGAATAGCTCTGAATGGCTGCTGCTTGATTATGTCATTTTGGCGCCAATTTCAAATGATTGATGTACCTATATATACTCCTTTGTTGCCAGGTTTTAATGTTATACCAATTTGATAAAGCCCTAGTGGTGAAACGCGTTATTGGTTTTATTATATTGTATATTTTATATAAATAAATAATTTTGTATTATTATTCCTGTAACAAAAAGAACAGTTTGCATGAAAAAGACTTATGGATTAAAATGCAGTTCGGGACTTTACAAGCATTCTCCATGCGAATGCTTGCTAACCACTAACAGGCCACCCTGACTCTAAATTGAGAGTAATTTACCCCCCTGCTTGATGGGCATTTTCGTCGAAAAACCGCACAAACGCTATGAGAACTGTATGTACAGCCGCCATTTCGCGACTTCCACGTGTTCGCGGCCATTTTAACTCCCGAACAGCGGTGTTTGCCGTCGAGTGCCTGGAATTAAAATCGGACACTCAAATAGGCGAACACCGCTGAGACCTCCATACCTTCGGGAGAACCACGCCAAAACTACCGAACAACCAGGCATTCGGTAGAAAGACTCCGCAACGGATGGGGATTTCAGCGAACCCAAGATGGCACGCGGATGGCCGGCCGTTCGGGAGTTTTTACACACGATCTAAGACCGACTGCAGGGCCAGCATTCATGGAACTGTTTTCGGCTACTTTGCCCGTGCGGTCGGTCAAAACTTCTAAGTCCCATATCTCCCGAACAGCTGAACCGAATGGGCTGATTTTTAAATATGTTAGTTCCCCAGAAACCAGCTAGAATTTATGCATGTACCCCAAGTATTTGGGGTACATCCAAACTTTGGGGAAAATATGTTCCTTTTTAATTGTTATTTAGTTATCTAAGGGGAGGAGATGTACCGAATATATATTGTCTTAATTGGTTATACTGTTAATTATGTGGTTGTCTCCCTTGCATGGACAGAATCCCATAAAAAGAGTGTCTGTCAATAAATCCTCAGTTCTTCTTGACCCTTCAAAACGTAGCCTCGTCTCGTTCTTGAAAGGGTAATCTCTGCAGCATAATCACTAAGCTCTTTTCAGAGCTGCACTTAACTTCTACTCTTGATCCAGCAGAAGGGAATAGGCGACTCCATCACTACACAGCAACTTGCCAGGAAGAAGAGGACGTCCCCAACGGCTGATACCCTCACCATATCTGGGTAGCCGTTACAATTCCTCTATACAATCTTATTTTTATATATCTTTTATTACCCGTTCCTGGCATTTCATTAATCCTAAAGTGTGGATTAAACCACCCACGCTATCATTCGAGTGCAGACAGGCCTGCACTCCATTTGTGAGTACATTTTATTTTAATCTATCTTTACATCGTATCATCGGAGAGCACTATTGGTTGTTTATATTTTCTCTCTGAGAATTGGATACCATCACCCTTCGGAGGACAAGCATCCACACTTCCTACAAGCGGAGATTAATACGCTGTATGCCTATTACACCTGAGCTGGCCATAGCTCATTCGAATGTGAGTGTATTACTTTTATTTTAATTCATTTTTATCTTATACACTCTACACGATTGGTCCTTTCTCATTGTGTCTTCTATGTCACGAGACGATCTACTACAAACAGAGAAGATATCCTACCAGCTGAAACAGCAACTAAGACTATACAATCTCTGATACAATTGGGACTATTTTATACACATATATATTTTTTTGTATATTTTTTTTATATTTATTTTTATATATACATTTTATATATTATAAATTATATTTTTGTGTATTTTTAGTATTTTTATTATTTATTAGTTCTCTTGGTGCAGCCTTTCCTTGCTTTTGTTGTACCCTGCTAACAGAAGCCCACTTGGTGGCCCCTTGTGCATGGGCCAGCCGGTGGGCCTCCTTAGTGTGCGGATTACCGGCCGGGGGGGAGAAATAGTTGAGGCCAGCAAGCTCACGGTGCAGCTGCCCCGTTTGCCCCGAGTTAAAGACAGCCCTGCATATATGAGCTATTATATTGTATATGTTCATGAGTAGTTTATGCTATTGTGTATGATACATATGAATGTAAGCTGTGTATGGGGGCTGCTTGTGGAATTGTGTGTTTGTGTGTGGATGGATATGTCACATTGTGTGTTTGGTAGTGTGTGGGGGCTGTTTAGGGTATTGCATGTGAGAGGCTGCATGTGGGATTGTGTGCATGTATTTGGATTGTTAGTGGTATTGCGTTTATGCGGATTGTGTGTGGGTTGTCCGTATTATTTGTATGAGGGGAGGGTTATTCTGCATTTCTGTGTATATCTAGCAGTGTGGGTGACTTCCCTGGGTTCCAGTGGGGACCAGGCCGGCCAGGTACATGTCAAGGACAGGACCTGCAACAGCAACTGCATGCTGCTCTACTACTGTGTGGATTCCAATTCACAAGTGCTGAGAGGAAGTGATCTGAGATCACTTCCTCTACGTGCTGCAATGCATAAATTGCATGATTTTGCTATTACATGACGAAAAGTCATGATTTTATTAAAGACACGGAGGCGAGTATTGCATATCCCTTTCTTTACTGTCTACCAATAGCAGCAAAGGATATAAACAGAATGAAAAAACAATGAACATACAGTGTCATAGGCCCCTCCCTGCACGTCCCAGTATAATAGGCAGCACTTCCCTTCCATTTCCCTCTTTCTGATTTTACGACACTATACACAGAGTCCAAAACAGGAACAGCAACATAATCCAGAGATAAATGAAAACGGAAAAACTTCAACCCAAGAGGAGGATCATAACATCAAATAACATGGAAGCACAACTTGCTGCCTGCCGACCAAACTGTATTTGCAGGGAGAGATCTTCACACGCTGAAGCCAGAAATTCCACCGGAGTAGATTAGGCTGTGAAAACATAAAGAAACAGGAGCCCAAGGGTTAAACCGGTACATGAGGCTGACATCCAGGCCAGACAGAGCAAGGCCCCACCAATATCTACAGAGAAGTAACCAGATAGACCCAAACTGACAGTTACAAAGTCAAATCCCTTCCAACACAGATCCCACTTACCGTACCAATCAAAGCGATACGTGTCACCTATATATTGAAATAAACTGGGGGGGGGGGACAAACAAGTTATAACCTGTTTAGTATAAAACGGGTGGGACAATACTCGCCTCCGTGTCTTTAATAAAATAATGACTTTTCGTCATGTAATAGCAAAATCATGCAATTTTATGACAAGACACGGAGGCTCATATTGCAAGTTTAAAGCTGATCGACTACTGCCGCGAACGTATGAGGAACCGGTCTGACGTAGAATTCCCGAAAAATCGATTCCCGCGACCAGTCGGCCATCTTCATGAGGACCTCCAGGCGCGCGCCTGAAGTCATCATTAAAGATGCTGAGGCCCCCCTGATCGAATGTGCACCGAAAATCGCAGTGTAAATACCGGCATGAGAGAGTAGCCATTTAACCCATCGAGACAAAGTGGTGCTAGTTACGGGTTGAAACGGCGGACGGGTAGATAAAAATAGTTGGGGGGAGGATGCGGAATGGTGTAGCTTGGTGCGATCCTCATATGCGCGTAGGCAAGCCACCGGACACAGCGCCGGTGTAGTGGGGAAACTCGGATAGGATACTGACCTAATAGACGGTTTGGTGCGTCTGCTGATATTGAATGTTGCTCCTTCTGGGTGTACGATCTGGCAGTAAAGTCCAGTGCTCGGACATCCGAGACCCTCTTACAGGAGACAAGATAAAACAAACAGGCCAGTTTGGCTGAAAGGTGTCTTAGGGAGAGCGCGGAATTAGTGGGCCAAGAAGCGAGGAAGGATAACACCACCGATACATCCCAGGTCGCAGTATAGCGCGGTCTGGGTGACCGAGAGAGGCAAGAACCTTTAAGGAGTCGGCACACCAAGGGGTGCTGGCCCACTGGGCAGCCATCGAAACCCTGATGTGTTGAGGAAATAGCTGATCGATATAGGTTGATGGTTCTGTATGCCTTACCTGTTCAAAGAGGGAAGTCAGGAACTGTAGAACCGCAGTTACAGGGGCTGAAACGGGATCCATGTCCCGAGCCAGGCACCAACCAGCCCAAGCTCACCAAGCTGACCCATATGCCCGTCTAGTGCCGGGGGCCAATGCCGCTGCCAGTAGGCATCTAGAAGTGTCTAAAACTCCCTGGACCTCCCAGGGTTCCCTGAAATCCACCACGCCAGCAGCGGGAGGGAGCCCTTTAACTGGAGAGGGTGGCAACACCCTATTGGATCCCGAAGAAGTTCCTGGTAGGGTGGCAACAGTCTGGGATGATTTATCGTCATCCTGAGAAGTTGAGGGAACCATGATTGTGTTTCCCAGAATGGGGTCACTAGGACCAGTTCGGCCTGATATCTGCAAGAGTGTGGAAGGGCGCAAGGGATCATGGAGAACGGGGGAAAGGCATATAGAAGGTCTCCGCTCCAAACCTGCAGGAAGGCGTCCACTGCCTCCGCCGCCGGATCCGGCCTCCAGCTGAAGAATCGAGGGAGCTGGGTGTTGAGCCGGGAGGCGAATAGGTCTATCGCAAAAGGTCCTCAAAGAGACAATATACTGGAGAACACGTTCGTGTCCAATTTCCAGTTGCTGGAATCCGATAGATATCGTGAGCCCCAGTCCACCTGGACGTTGTGCAGTCCTGGCAGGTATTCTGCTTGAACCACCAGGTTCCGGTCTAAGCAAAAGTTCCAAAAGTCTTTCGCGAATCTGGCCAGGACCGCAGATTGAGTACCGCCCAAGTGGTTGACATACCTCACCGCTGATACGTTGTCCATGCGGAGGCGGATGCATGTATGGGCTCTGTCCCTCGCGAAGCTGCGGATCGCGAAAGAAGCCTGCCAAGAGTTCCAATGCGTTGATGTGGAGTCGGGATTCTGATTCCGACCAGCGACCCCCTGTCGCCACACCTGCGCAATGAGCCCCCCAGCCATGGAGGCTCGTGTCTGAGTCGATGGTGAACTCCGGCATGGAGCCGAATATTGCCCTGCCGTTCCAAGCAGACAGGTTGAGGATCCACCATCGCAATTCGTCCTTTGTCTCTTTGTCTAGAGATACCAGGTCCGCGTAGGATGCGCCAGCCCTCAGGTGAGCTATTTTTAAGCGTTGCATCGCACGGTAGTGGAGCGGACCTGGGAACACTGCCTGAATGGAGGCTGCTAGGAGGCCGATGAGGCGCGCCAGTTGCCTCAAGGTGAGTTGCGGTCGTAAGAGAGCCCTACGGATCTCCTTGCGTACTGAACGAGTCTTGGACCCTGGAAGGCTCAAAGTGGTCATCTCCGTATCCACTAGGAATCCCAAGAATTCCATGCGAGTGGCGGGAGTCAGGCACAACTTTTCTTGATTGATAATGAACCCCAGGCGGGAGAGCAGGTGTGCCAGAAGTATATCGTGATCTTGGGCCATGAGCAGGATATCGTCTAGGTATATGATTAGACGAATGCCTCGACTGCGTAGCCAGGCCATGGCTGGGTGTGGTGTATCACCAAATTAATATATATACTACACAAGGTTCGTCTACATTAAAAGGTATTTATTAAAAGGCAACAACACAATATTATAAATGTATCACAAACACACAGCCCAGACCCACGGAGCAACAACCCTTTTAAAATCTATCTATCTATATAGTAACCCCTTACACACACGCTTGATCTCACCCACGGTTAGGCCTTCACATCTAGTAATGGCTCACTGCTGCAAGTTCAACATCACATCCACCAAGGAAGCAACAGAGAGTAACATGGTTCACCATGCTAGCACATGGCGTCTGCACATCTGCTCTGCAGCACAGCCAAGAAGGAACAGAGAGGAATGGAGAAAGGGGGAAGTGGTTATCTCTTTCCTGACTTGTAAAGGTATTGAATTACCAATTAACATTTCAAAAGGGTAAAGCTTATCCCACTGTAAGAAAAGCAAACATGAGCTTGGTCACATGACCCCTGGTCACCATATTAGTTTGATGACAGAATGTCACCACATTCCCTCACTTTTTCTTCTCTTATGTTGAGCACATTTAAAAATAATAATTTATCCCTTCTATCTAAACTATGAGATCTGAAGTAGGAAAGGGGAGCACAGGAATTATAGTGAGTGATATAAGCAGGGTGAAAGAAAACAGTCAAATAGGGGTTGCATCACCCCACATTCCCCCACTTTTTCTTCTTTTATGTTGCTCCGTTATCTAGTTATCCCTCTAGTACAGGAAAACCTAGTGGGAGCAAAAACCTGATATACAGGAGAAATTCAACCCACCGTCCCTCCGGAATAGTTCCCTCAGCGACACAAGTTCTCCTGTACTTTCCTATGGCTGTCAATTTACATATTATACAGAGTGTCACAAAAAAAACAGAACTTATAGAATTTAGGTGAGTGTGTGTGCAATGTTAAACTTTATTGAAGAATGTATGAGAGAGAAAAAAAAAAAAAGACACAAACAAAAAAAAATATCCCCCTTTTCAAGTTTCTTCCTCATCTATTTCATTGCCACACAAAAGTATACTAGCGGCAAAGTTTGTAGGACTGGATGTGATATTTGCAGAATTCCATACTCTCAATCCAGTTCCGACTCCTCCCAGTAGAGCTGTAAATTGTCCCATTTTTCCTGACACCCTGCTTTGCCTCAAAACACTGTCGCCGTTGTTCCGGACACCTTGGAGGAATAGAAGGATTATTAAAATATAGACTGTAAACCTCTCCCTTATTTGGAGTATCTTCTGGCCGTATTGCCTGTCTCCCATCCCTACTGTGATACAGCGTATACTTATCCATCCTGTAACAAGGATCCACTACGATCTTCTGTTGACACACATCATCATCATCCTAATACAGCTTTGCCTTGCTCTGTGGGAACACTAGATCTCATCATTAGAAATGGGAGACTGGAAGACAGAGAAAGAACAAAACAAAAGAAAAACAAACATACATACGGATGTAGAGAGCAACACAAAATTATGAGTGTTATTGATTGCTGGGAGCCCCCAATTGGTCAATCTTTTCCTCCTCTCTCAACTGTTCCCTCAGCGCTTTCACGTCTGCCTCCAATCTTTCAGTCTGTCTCTTTAGGTCCCAGTAGTCTCTATTCCCTTCTTTATTCCACCAATTATCCCAATTCCGTCTATTGGTCTGATGCTCATCCCATCTATGGTTCCTTCTCCAATTATTCTCCCAATAACTGTTCCTGTTGTTTCTCCGTTTTTCTCCCCAATTGTGATTTTCCCACTTAATATCTGTCCTTTTTAGCCTCTCCCAGGTATTTTTATTATTCCAATTATTGATTACCTTAGGCCCCTCCCATCTATTCCTCCAATTATCTCCCATTACATTCCTATGGTCCCTCTGTGGATCTCTCCATCTTTTGTCAAAGTCCTGTTTTGGTCTCCAGTTCTCATTATCCCTCTTGTTCTGGGGTACGTCCCACCTCTGGCTTCTCCATTTACCATCTATATCTCTACCAGAGTCGACCTTGCTTATGGCTGAAACAGAGAAGGCCTGTTCCAAGGAAGGATGCACCATTTCTAAGTCTGCTGGTGTTGGATCAAAAAGCCTCACAAATTCTTGACACTCCCAGAGAAGGGCTTCCATTACTTTAGTAATATGTTGTGGTGAGCCCAAGACCAGAGGCTGTTGAGGTTGGCGTAGCGTATACCAGAACAATATCCTTTGAGCTACCTCTCTAGGATCATCTGCTGGCCTCATCATAATATTAACTATTTCTTTCTCTATGCTGAGTAGATAGAAAATCGTTGCAGCAATTCTTCCTGCCTGGTCAGACACACTGTTATTAAATCCAAATAGTCTGCTAGCCAAAGGACCCATAGCATATTCTAACAGTTCTGTCCATTCTTCTAAGTTAAGACCTCCTTTTTTTGCTCTATTTGCTCCCTTCATAAACCAATGTGTAAAGGTGTTAAAGTCGTCAGTTGGCATACTTCCCCACCATTTCTGGAAATTATCTTTGTCTGTGATTGACATAGTCCTTGTCTGTCTAGAGAAGCTAGTAGGCATTTCTCTTACATTAAAATGTTCCGTTATTATTATATTGGCTTGTGGGACACAATTTACAATTGGCACATTTCCCTTATGTTTTGTTCCCAGCACTGGTTCTTTACTTTCAGATATAAAATAAGACTGGTCTGGGCATACTCTAGGAATCTCCTTATCCCATTTATTTGTGTTTTCTTTAATTTTCATTTTATATTCCATGACTAGGTCTTGGAGTTCAGTGATCTTAGCACTATATGCATCTCTCTGTTGTTCTATTTCTCTTAACTCCTTTTCTAGTTCCCCAACAATTGTAGTTGTTCTCAAAGCTGCAATTTTTAAACAATCCCATTTGTCCATTGCTTCCTCCATTTTATTTGTGGTTTCCAAATTATGCTGCCGTAATTCTACAACTATGTCTATTAGGCCTCCTATTGTGGCTACAACAGCTTGTGTTACCAAACTTTTTCTTTTCTTTGTTCTATACTTTTTGTTATTTACAATTTGTGTTAGAACATCCATTAATCTCTTTTTCACTGTCTGGGTTTGCTGGCTCTGGAAGCTCATATGGACCATCATGTTTTTGAATATGTTTCCTAAAGTACTCACGCACTTCTGTGGAAAAGTATTTGGCCCCTTGAAAAGACATTCCTACTCTTTTACTCACCCAAGTAAGAACCTAATTTAAATCAATTTGCAACTAAAGTATCACGCTTCTGAATAGCCAACAATAGTTGATGTCTATTCAGTAGGCCAGGTGTAAATAGAGAAAACAAAAACCAAAACTCAATTACCTTTGTATGCTAAACACAATGGGTGGGGAACACAATATCCACAACTCTACTGTGAAGCTTGACTTAGGATTTGGCCTAAACACACGCCCAGTTTTGTTATATGTAGCACAATGGACTAGTATCCACAATGCAAATTATATTTACCTTAGTATGGTGAAGGTAATACTTGCTAATTAATTTCAAAACCAGTAGTGCCAAAATTAGCATATTAAAATATAACAGCAAGGCCTGGAGGGTAGGAGTTATATCTGAACTAGGATATTCAAGACACATAACCTATAGTGTATTACATTTCTCTAGGCCTGTACTATGATAGAATGCAGGCCTGAAATAAATTTTAAAAAATTATAAAAGGATTAATATATTCAAAATTGAGGCCTATGCTGGTAGTGTAATCAAATCAGCATTCAAATACAAAAAGAAGCCGCATGGAAGCCTATTGTAATGCAGGGCTAGGCCTGTACTCTGATAGTCAAAACCCAATAAAACTCAACTCAGGTATTAGAAACACACAAAAAAAACTAATACTATATTGAAAATTGAGGCCTGATGCCCAAGCTTGTATATTAAAAAGGAGGCACGAACTAGGATACAAAAGAATCAAATCAGCATTCAAATACAAAAAGAAGCCGCATGGAAGCCTACTATAGTATATTATAATGCAGGGCTCGGCCTGTACTCTGACACAACACAAAACACAACAAAACTCAACTCAGATATTTGAAACAACCTGTATTAGACCTGTGTTTTATGTATCAAAATAAGCTAGTAAGGTAGGGGGGAGGCATTAGCGGACTCCAACTACCTGAGTTGCATCCCAAGATAAAGGCTGGGCAGTACCATGCTCGCCCAGAGGGTCCCACGAACCAAGCATCGCCCAACACCGGAAGGGATTAGCAAGCCAGCTAGCGGGATAGGACACCACATCCCCCGGTTGCAACCGGGAGCAGAGGGGTGGGGTACGATCCCTGGGGGAGAGGGGAGTGTTACTGGCGGTGGACTGGTCTGTAAAGTTGTTATTGTTATTAACGTTGATGAAGTTCACATGTTTCGCACCACACCTAGATGGTCACATACTTACACAAGGGGATTGGAAACACGCCTGAGCTCATGGAGCCGGGGGGGCTTGGCCGAGGCGGGGGCACTTGGAGAGGCCGGACCCGCCAGGTAGCAGAGGGGCCCAAATACCAAATAGACACGCATTACTCAGACCCCTGAGAACAGAGAGGAAATTGGGTGATGGGGAGGTGGCACCCTCATACTTCCTCTCCATACCCGTAGGGGAAAATTCCACTTAAACAAGACTAGTGGGCTGGGTGCCGTGAGAGCAGTGCGATTCATACGACGGTTTACCCCAGAACGGACGACCCACGAACCCCACGTGACTGACTCACACTGTACAAATTCTCGGAGGCTACTCTGGTGACAGACCCCGAAGGGACTAGACACCGGTGGGCGACTGACTCCGAGGCGAGTCATAGTTACCTTCTACCCAGACTCACAACTCCTCCCTGACATAGACCTGACTTCCCTCCTTTCCCCCCCCGAACCTTAACCCTGCGATACTTTGACACACCCATACCCTACCTCACGAGCAGACAGGAATGGGCTCCAACTATGTAGCGGCGCCGCTTACCCTCTGGTCAAACAACGTCAGAGGCCTAAACGTACCCAAGAAACGGTCTCAGTTACTCCGCACACTCTGGGCGGAACGCATCTCGGTGGCGTTTTTGCAGGAAACGCATCTTAAAGGTGCGGAGGCCCCCACCCTGAAAAACGGAAGGTACCCCACAGGTTATTACTCTAACCACACCGACCAAAAAAAAGCGGGGGTGGCGATCCTCTTTTCACATAATGTCCCGTTCGTATGCACAGAGCAACGAACAGATCCAGGGGGTAGATACTTATTTATCAAAGGGACCATAGCGCAACACCCTTACACATTCGCCTGCCTGTATTCTCCGAACCGTAACCAACATGTCTTCCTAAATAAAACACTTACATTGCTCAATAAGTTCAGGGAGGGCCTATTACTTATGGCGGGAGATCTTAACACACCGTTAGACGCTAGACTGGACACCTCTAGGGGAGAAAGCTCAATACCAGGTCATTGCACACGCGCAGTCGGGAGAGCTCTGACAAGAAGTGGATTAGTGGATTGCTGGAGGGCGGCGCACCCTGACGGCAGGGACTATTCCTATTACTCGGCTGTGCATCAGCGATACAGTCGGATTGACTATATCTTCATTGCACAGGAAGCCCTGCCACTACTCCGTAAGGCAAGCATAGGCCTGATAGCGGAGTCAGATCACGCCCCGGTCTCAGTCCAGATCCAATCCCCATTGCACAAACCAGCGGGAAGACACTGGAAGCTAAATGAGAATATGCTGCTTAACCTAGGAGACACGGACCCAGTTAGGCAAGCACTAACACAATACTTTGACACCAACACAACCCCCGACATATCGCCATTGACGGTGTGGGAAGCACATAAATGTGTCGTACGGGGACACTATATTAAGGTCTGTTCACAACGGAAGAAGGAACATACACAACAGCTGACAACACTAAGCGCACAAATAGCCAATTTAGAGCAAGCTCACAAACAGAGTCAGGATGAAGACACGTTCCTCCAACTAACTGCACTCCGAAGGCAGAGAAGAGACATATTAGCTCAGGGTCTTCTACGCACCCTTAGAAAATCGGCCCGGTTCTTTTTTGAACACTCGGACAAAAGCGGTAGGCTGTTAGCCCGCCAGCTCCGAGACCGTCAGAGGGCGAGCCACATACACAAAATTAAGCCCAGTGACAAAGCTGAAACCTGACTGCCGGACGGAATTCAGCGTGCGTTCGTAGACTACTACACGGACCTATACAACATTCCCCAACCCAATACTGACGCGGCCCGCACACGACAGACCCGCCAAATCACTGAATTCCTGGAACAAAATATAGATAAAAAGCTGACTGCAGAAATGCGAGACGACCTAGACCAACCCCTCTCGGTGGAGGAACTGGCGGCGGCCCTGAAAATCTCCAAAACCCACAAGGCCCCAGGACCAGACGGCCTGCCTCTGATGTACTTGCGTACGTTCAAGGACATCTTACTACCAAACCTCTTACTAGGCCTCAACTCCATACTGTAGGGGGGGCGCTTCCCCTCGGATACGTTAGCAGCCATAGTTACTGTAATACCTAAAGAGGGCAAGGACCCGACGAACTGTGCGAGCTACCGTCCCATATCGTTACTAAACGCAGACCTGAAACTATTCGCAAAAGCCATTGCCCTGAGAGTTGCAAGACACCTCCCCCACTTGGTACACTCGGATCAGGTTGGGTTTATCCCGGGTAGGGAAGGGAGAGACAACACGATCAAGGCTCTGAACATCCTACACATAGCACGGACGCGCCGCAGAGAACTTCTGCTACTTTCCACCGATGCCGAAAAGGCTTTTGACCGGGTGAGCTGGTCGTATCTGGGGAGCACCCTCACACACATGGGATTCGGCCCCAACATGCTGTCCTGGGTGCTCTCACTGTACACGTGCCCCAACGCGAGGATCCGCATTAACGGGGCACTATCAACCCCTTTCACAATCAGGAATGGCACCCGCCAGGGATGCCCGCTTTCCCCCCTCCTGTTTGCCCTCTCCCTAGAACCATTTCTGGGGGCGGTCAGACGGAATGGGGGAATCTCTGGATTCCGCCTCGGTCGCCACGAATACCGAGTAGCCGCATATGCAGACGATATGCTGTTCTTTCTTACACAGCCATTGATCTCACTGCCCAACCTTCTAGCATCTTTCCGGGAGTTTGGGGCGCTCTCTAATCTTAAACTCAATACGGATAAGTCTGAGGCCCTCCACCTCCCACCCCCTACAGGCCCCCCAACACACCTTTACACCCAATACAGGTTCAAATGGTGCGATATCAAATTAAAATACTTGGGCATATGGCTGACCAAGGACCCATCCCAATTATACCACCATAACTATCACCCTCTCCTACACTCACTTCAGGCAGACCTTAAGAAATGGGCCCCATATTACATCTCCTGGTTCGGACGTATCAACGCGGTTAAAATGAACGTGTTACCCAGGATACTCTACCTATTCCAAACAGTACCAGTTACTCTCCCCAGAGCCTTTTTCAGCTCCATGACGACCGCCATTCGCAGATTCGTTTGGAACTCCCGCCCAACCCGAATAAAAAAAATCAACCCTGGAACTATCAAAACTGATGGGGGGCACGGGACTGCCCTCCATAGAGACGTATTACCGCGCCGCACACCTGCACAGACTGACGGACTGGCATGCACAACACCCATTAAAACAATGGGTGACCCTGGAGCTAGAACAAACGGGCAGAAAAATACCCTCTAGGCTTTGGTTACACACCGCCACATACTCCGACCTACACACCGAGAACCCACTAATCGACGCCACGCTCCGAGTGTGGATGGCTATACGCTATCGACTGCAACTCACCAGCTCCCCCAGCCCCTTAACACCCATCACACATAACCCCACAAGACTTAGCTGGCCTTCAGCAGGCAGACTGGATGTACCTACACCAATGGCTCGACACTCAGGGACTTAAATCACTAGGAAACCTTTGCCCCGATAGACCACCGACGATACTCGAGCAATTCAGATACCACCAAGTTAAGACGTACTTCCTATCCTTGCATGGCCGAGGGCACCTGACTAGACCCCTCACCAGCTTTGAACACCTGTGCATACACCGAACACACATACATAGAGGTATCTCCTCTATACATACCATACTCAAGACCCAAACTAGTGAGGATGTGGTGCTCAAATTTAAGGATCACTGGGAGAGGGACTCGGGGGAAGTCCTTACCGCGCAGGATTGGGACAAGATCTACACCCTCACACATAAATGCTCTATCAGCTCTAAGTACCAGGAGCTAAATTACAAAATTTTAACCCGCTGGTACAGAACCCCAGACATACTTAATCGCATGAACGAGAGTACCCCGGACACCTGCTGGAGATGCGGCAGGCACACCGGCTCGTACTTCCACATCTGGTGGAAGTGCCCCGAGATCACCACATACTGGGAGAGGATCAGCGTAGAGATAAACAGAATCACAGGAGCGGAGCTACCCCTAGAACCCCTAACGATGTTATTACACCACACCCCCACACCCGTCAAGACATATAAGAAATCTCTCACGCTGCCACTACTCAATGCAGCAAAGGCCCTGATCCCGGCAATGTGGAAACAGAGGGGGGCGCCTACCCTCCAGCAATGGATGACAAGGGTGGAAGATATCCACTCAATGGAATCCTTAACTGCAGACCTCCAAGGTAGACAGGAGCAATGTGCACTGACCTGGTATCCCTGGGCAACATACCTAGCCAACAGATCAGCAAACCCAAGCACGGCCCCCCAGAGGCCCGCAACAAGCTGACTCATACAGAGCTAAGCTACCTAGCTGCCCCTATTCCCTGTGTCTCTTACCTCCCACCCCCTTTCCAAGACTGGACACCGGACTGAACCCCAACGACAGACGCGGACGAGCCCGCAAAAGGGGCATATTAATATGCACACTCCTTGTAAGCACAGGAGCAGAATACACAGGGAACTGAGACCAAATCTAGTGTTGATACCGGCATGAAAACATACCGCTCGGTCACCCAGACGGGTACCCAGAATACCCTCCCATATGCCGAGCTATACCGATAAACATACAAATATGTACACTGACAATTGCCTACCCACAGTAGAGGGAAACCTTATCTATGACACCACACTTGGCTCTCACCCAGGTGACCAGATGGCCCAGAATGTAAATATTTGCTGTGTAGACATGGGAGGTGTTAAGGCACTAAAGGTTTTTTCTTCGCTACTGAAGCTCTATATCATGCGCAACAATATATTTTTGTCAAGTGATAACATGTTCTTAGACACTGTTGTTTTCAAACGTGAAATGGAAAATAAAGATTGTCAAAAAAAAAATAAGCTAGTATAATATAAAGGATTAATATATTCAAAATTGAGGCCTATGCTGGTACTGTATTAAAATAAAGGATTAAAAACAATAATTTATTCGAAATTGAGGCCTATGCTGGTAGTTATTAAAATAAAAATTAAAAAAAATAAGGCCTGAAAAACTAGTAGGCCTGAACTATAGTAGTCAAATCAGCATTCAAATACAAAAAGAAGCAGCATGGAAGCCTATTAAAATGCAGGGCTAGGCCTGTACTCTGTCAAAACCCAATAAAACTCAACTCAGATATCTGAAACACACAAAAAAACTAATATATTCAAAATTGAGGCCTGATGCCCAAGCTTGTATATTAAAATGGAGGCCCAAACTAGACTCCACACACAATCAGCCCTTGATTTCCCATGCAGAGGATAATTAAACAAAGTACTTTTTTTTTTTTTTTCTCCCCCCAAAAAATAAATCTGACTATCTATTAATGTGTTATTACCTCATAAATAACCTTTGTAGAAGTCTAAAATTCGTGGTCGCCAAATGTGGTGTATCACCAAATTAATATATATATTACACAAGGTTCGTCTACATTAAAAGGTATTTATTAAAAGGCAACAACACAATACTATAAATGTATCACAAACACACAGCCCAGACCCACGGAGCAACAACCCTTTTTAAATCTATCTATCTATATAGTAACCCCTTCCCCACACGCTTGATCTCACCCACGGTTAGGCCTTCACATCTAGTAATGGCTCACTGCTGCAAGTTCAACATCACATCCACCAAGGAAGAAAAGAAAGCAACAGAGTGTAACATGGTTCACCATGCTAGCACATGGCGTTTGCACATCTGCTCTACAGCACAGCCAAGAAGGAACAGAGAGGAATGGAGAAAGGGGGAAGTGGTTATCTCTTTCCTGACTTGTAAAGGTATTGAATTACCAATTAACATTTCAAAAGGGTAAAGCTTATCCCACTGTAAGAAAAGCAAACATGAGCTTGGTCACATGACCCCTGGTCACCATATTAGTTTGATGACAGAATGTCACCACACTGGGCGCAGCAGTTTTGTGAAGCACCATGGTGCTGATGATAGGCCAAAGGGTAGGCATGTGAATCGCCAAGTCCCTGTCCGCCAATGGAAACGCAGGAGATCTCAGGATGCTACGGCTCTAGGCATAGTGAGATATGCATCCTTGAGATCCAGCTTTATCAACCAGTCCCCCTGAAGGAGTAGATCTCTCAACAGATGGATACCCTCCATCTTGAAATGGCGGTACTTGACCATAGCATTGAGTGGGCGCAGATTTATGACTGGGCGCATTTGGCCGCCCTTCTTTTCCACTAGGAAAATATTGCTTACGACTCCCGTGGAGTCCAGGGGGGCCCGTTCTATCGCTCTCTTGGTGAGGAGCGAGGATAGTTCTTCGTCGATCAACCTGCGATTCCGGATAGAGAAGCAGATCGGTCGAGGAGGCGAGATAGTTACAGGGTTCCCCACAAGGTCTATGTGGAAACCTCGAATGGTGTTTAGTACCCAGCGGTCGGAGGTTAACTGTGCCCGGGCTGGGAAAAAATGTTGGAGTCTGCCCCCTACATAAACATGTGAAGAAACATGAGGTATGAGTAAACTCACCATAGGGTCTTCTGGAGCCGGTGTTACCCCAGAAACCTCTGGATCGCCACGGGCGTCCACGTGATGGGAAGAATGGGGAGCAGGCATTTGTCTCCTGGAAGTTGGAGCAGTGCTGAAAAGAGCCTCGTCCCGAGCTACGGGACTGAAAGTAGGACCGGCTGGACAGACGGCTCCTGGATCTGCCGGCCCTGGTAGAGACCCTTCCCTGAAAAACCCGTCTCATGGAAGTTTGGGCCTTGTCAAGGGCCGTGAATGCCCCCACAAAGCACCCCAGGTCTTTAATGAAGGAGTCACCAAATAATAATCCTTGAGCGTCCTTCCCAGCCTCTGTTAGGGCAAGGTTGGCCAGTTTAGGCTCTATTTTAAACAAAATGGCTTTACGCCGTTCAATAGAGAGGGTGGTATTTACGCTCTCGGCGATACAAATAGCCCTTTGAACCCAACCACGGAGGTCTTCGGGGTCAAACATGTGGTTTCCAGCTCTGGCATCCTCCGCCAGTTTGAAAAGTTTTGCCAGCGGACCAAATATGTCTAAGTGTTTATCCTAGCATGCTTTTAGGGTAGAGTCTAGGCCCTTACGTGGGTTCCAGCCCATCTTTGTTAGGAACTCGGTCATTTTTGGATCAACTTCGGGGGTATCACAGACTTTATTCGGCACCGTGGCCTTGGGCACTCTGCCCTCAGTTTGTTCCGTGCCACTTTACTGAGTGGGCGTCGTACCCAATTTTCAAGGTACTTGGCTACATGGTCCGCTGGGAGCCACTCCGCCAATCTCGGATGGTTAAGCTCATCCGGGTCGAAGAGAGGTTCTCCCAATGGATCCAAGAGGGTGGACCCCGCGATTGCGGGGTGAAGCGTCCCCGTGTCACCTCCGGACGTCTCTGCCTGAGCAGAGAGAAGGAGGTCAAGGCCCAGCTCAGCGGTCTCAACATCAGAGTCGTCATCCGACTCAACCATAGCCTCCTCACCTGACCCAATTTATGAGTCGGAGTCACTCTCAGGTTGTGCTGAGAGGAAAAGGCTCTTTTGCGTGGGTGGGACACGCTTTCTGGGGCAACCGTAGGTACGCCAGTCATAACAGTTCTGGAGGCAGAGGGGTGTTTGGACTTATGGGTCGCCTTCTTAGGTGCGCCCTCAGACAGGGTGGTGAGCTGGAAGACGTGTCATAGATGACAGGGGTCTCTCCCAGAGGCAAAGGGGCATCTATCACCCCAGCGGGTGGTGAGCTGGAAGGCATCCTGGGTTTGGGCATAATGGATGCAGCTCAAAATTCCTACCAGTGAGGTTGCAGAGTAGTAAGGGTTAGTCATCCAAACTATAGGGAACAAGAATGATAGGGATCTCACCAGGGTCCAGACCAGAGGCACACAGACACACACGAGGTAGTATGAGAGACAGGAAGTCAGAAAATGGCCGCCGCAAGTCTCGCGAGATTCGCGGCAAAACCAGTGAATTCGGCAATAGAAAAGAACCGAATGTGCAGTAAAATAGGTGAATCCGCGTGAATAAAACAGGCGAATGAGTAAAACGCACAAATCAAAAAGTCGAACGCGGCAAATAGGCGAATGTGCTTCATGCCAGTGAAACTAACGAATGGTCTGAACGGAACGGTGTAAGCAGCGCAAAATGCCGCCAGAGGACAGGGAGAGGAGAGATGGCGATAAAAAGAATAAGAGGAAGAAGTAATCATAGAAGAAGTCAAAACTAAGAGTGCATAGATAGATATTTCACACAGGAGGTCTGGAACCCTGGGAGACAAACCATATGTGTATACAGACATACAATAAACATAAATAGATAAACTGAGGAGAAAAAAAAAAATTCTTAACCCCTTAAGACCGGGCGTAATAGTACGCCCTCCGGTCTTTCCTTACTTACCCAGTCGCCGGTGGTCCCACGCCGGCGATCACGGTGGGGGGGACTCCCAGGGAGCCCCCCCGCGGCAGATCCTCCTCCTCTGGTGCCCCCTGGCCATGTGAGAGTGAGGTCCTTGCGAGGACCTCACAATTACATGGCCGGGATAGCTGGCTGCAGCATTGTCAGCAGGGGGGCTGCCTGTAATGACAGGTGGTCCCCCTGCTGGCTGAAAATAAAATAAAATAAATGTTAAAAGTGTAAAAAAATAATAATATATACTTAGATCATATATATATAAAATATTTTATAATATATATATATATATAAAATATAGGTGTATTTTACTATTAATATATATATAATTATATATATATATTAATATCAAATTACACGTAGACTGATATTGATTAAATATATAATTATTGTTATATATATATATATTTATATATAATATAAAAAAATTAAATATGTAAATACGTTAAAAAATAAAATTAAAAAAATAATTTAAAAAAATAATTAAAAAATATATAGATGTATGTTATTTCGTTCTAACTGTATTGTGATATTAATATATATATATATATATATATTTATATCAAAATACACGTAGAACGAAATAATATATATCTATATACATAAATATATACGTATATATCACTATATATATATACCTATATATAAATAAAAATATTTTTAAAAAATTATATATATATATATATATATACACACATATATATTCACATACGTATATATATACATATATTAATTCTACATATATATTTATATAATATTTTTACATAATTAGGTATCTTAATTAATTGCAATTAGCGGGACCTGCCTGACAACCCATGCCGAAAGTAAAGGGAATTTAATTTGCTAGCACTATATTTAACCCTATAACTTTCCAAGATACCATAAACCTGTACATGGGGGGTAGTGTTCTACTCGGGCGACTTTGCTGAACACAAATATTAGTGTTTCAAAACAGTAAAATGTATTACAACGATGATATCGCCAGTAAAAGTGAAGTTTTTTGCATTTTTCACGCACAAACAGCACTTACACGGACAATATTATTGCTGCGATACTTTTTACTGTTTTCAAACAAAAAAATATTTGTGTTCAGCGAAGTCTCCCGAGTACAACAGTACCCCTCGTGTACAGGTTTTATGGTGTTTTCAAAAGTTACAGCGTCAAATATAAGGCTTGTGTTTCATTTTTTCACATTAAAATTCACCAGATTGGTTACGTTGCCTTTGAGACCCTATGGTAGCCCAAGAATGAAACTTACCCCTATGATGGCATACCATTTGCAATAGTAGACAACCCAAGATATTGCAAACGGGGTATGTCCATTTTAGTAGCCACTTAGTCACAACCACTGGCCAAAATTTGCGTTTTTTGCATTTTTCACACAAACAAATACTAACACTAACTTTGGCCAGTGTTTGTGACCAAATGGCTACTAAAAAAGACTGGACATACCCCATTTGCAATACCTTGGGTTGTCTACTATTGCAAATGATATGCCATTATGGGTGTAAATTTCTTTCCTGGGCTACTATAAAGTCCCAAAGGCAACGTAACCAATCTGGCGAATTTCAATTTCAAATGTAACGTGCTATATTTGACCCTGCAACTTCCCAAAACGCCATAAAACCTGTACATAGGGGGTACTGTCTTACACGTGAGACTTTGCTGAATACAAATATGTGTATTTTGTTGCAGTAAAAGCAAACAGTATTATGACATTGACAGTTAAAATGTCATGTAGAACTAAAAAAAATTAAAAAAAATCTTATTTTCTCCCATTTTTTCATATTAAATTATGTTTCATAGCTAAATATTTGATATTAAATGAAAGCCCTGTTTCCCCTGAATAAAATGATATATAATAAGGGTGGGTGTATTTAATATGAAAGAGGTGACTTACGGTTGGACAGACATGTAGCGCAAATGCCAAGTTTTGTTTACATTTTGTTTCGTTCACAACGTGTACATTTGGCTCCGTCCTTAAGGGGTTAATAGAATCAACTAGAAGAATAGTATTGAATCTGTTAATAAGGAAGCAATACAACAATAAATGACAATAAATAGCAGAATAACAACCATAACTGACACAATAAACAAGTAATCAATGAGAGGAAAAATGTGAGCTGTTACTTATCTTTGGAGCAGCAAAGAAAGAGGGAAATGGAAGGGAAGTGCTGCCTATTATACTGGGACGTGCAGGGAGGGGCCTATGTCACTGTATGTTCATTGTTTTTTCATTCTGTTTATATCCTTTGCTGCTATTGGTAGACAGTAAAGAAAGGGATATGCAATATGAGCCTCCGTGTCTTGTCATAAAATTGAGGATTGTCCTTAACCACTTTTTCGGATTAGCAGATAGCTGAAGCTTTACTGGGACTCCTGTTTGGCTCTAGCAGCCTTGAGTGCCGTGCATGGCACTAGTGCCGTAGGTTGCCTACCCCTGCTCTAGGACAAGCATGTCAAACTCAAAGGCTAGCACGGGCCACATAAACAAGGTTTAAGTTAATGTGGGCCACAAAAAAAACCCCAAAACCTTAAATTTTCATAGAAATTTAGGTTTGTTTTAAAATGTACAGTATAAAGAAAACCAAACAGCATCCCCCTCTACTAATTCACAGCCCTCCCTCTGTACTAAATCCCAGCACCCCCTGTATAGTAAAACCCAGCCCTTTAAAAAAAAAAAAAAAATTAGTCAACAAGCAGACTCCACTCACATTGCTGCTGCCAGTATGCGACTCCGGAGTCCAGCCTCTGGTATACCCCCAATGACGCCGTACGCATCCTGTGCCAAATGGATCCTCCTGCTACTCCTTGAAAACCTGTGAAGGTGGAGCACATTCACGTCATGTCAGAATGTGGCATTGCGGGCCCTGCCAGGTTCTCCACTGTCCAACTGGGGTCATCGCAACACAGACTGACACACAC